TTGTATCACAATTGCCTTGTGTGCCAGGAGCTGATCTGTGGAGAGAAGATTGAAACCAAGGCCGGCGACAATAAGAACGTTGGTAACATGTAAGGAATATCCCGTGTCGACGGACTCGAGCATTACACTTCCGATTGATCTGGCCATGATAGTTTGTCCGTTTGCAACTGTGACAAGTATCGGACGTCGAAGTGGACGCTGATTGGTGATGAAGCTTGTTTCAGCGGAGCACATATGCCAACTACAACTGCTGTCGAGAAACCAAGTATTGGGTCCTGAAATGACTTGAGCAAGGTTAGCATAAACTTGCGGTAAGGGAATGCCCTCTGCACTTGTGGTTTCTTCAACTGTCTGAAATTGGTATTTGAAACATCAACTGTCGTCACGCATCCAAAAACTCCTTTTCCTGATGTTGCAGATGGAAAAAAACGGAGGACGATGCCGTGATGAAGGTGTATTATGCGGTGGTTTCTGCATCTGCTGCGTATGGGATGTTGACTGCTGCGTTGGCGAATGTGACTTCGGTAGCTGCTGCGAACGATGATATGGTTGTGAAGTACTGCGACGGTTTTGATGTCGACTGCGACAAGTCTGGTAAGTATGTCCTGGTTTTTTTCAGAAATGACAGAAGGGATATTTCGGGGAAAGCCGTTGCTGCGACCCTGGATTGGAGTAAAAACTTAAGTGTATCCCCTTTTTTTGATTGCGTTGTGACAGCAGGTCAAGATCTTGGTGTTCTGCTTGAAGATACGAGGAAATCTCGGCTTCGGAGAGATTCGGGTTCATGCGCAAGAATGCACGCATCTCTCGCCACTCAGGACCAAGTCCAGCAAGAAGTACCGTGAGATACATCTCCCAAGGGAATTATCCTCCACTCTTCTCCAATTGATCTCGTAGTGTGCAGACACGATTGACGTAATCCATGACATTCCCGTTGGTCATCATCTCCACAATTGTCAGCTGCGAAAGAATTTTACTCACTGTGATTGTATCCTTTGCCATGTACACTCCCTTTAAGTGGTTCCATGCAGTTTCAGCTGGCGTAAAGCTGGAATGAAAAGATTGAACGCCAAGCTGCTCCTTTGCCGATAAGTTTCGAACGAGAACCGTATACGCCCCGCGAGAGGCGTGTAAGAAACTTTGTTGCTCCAATTGTGTTCCCGTAACAGGATATGTGAACTCGCCGGTGAAGAACGGCTATAGCCCGGCAGACTGCGCCAGAAGTTCAAACTTGAAACTCCAGGAGTAAAAATCAACTCCGTAAAAATGTATAGTGTCTTGATCTGTGTGCTGATAAGTAAATTCGGCGGCTGAAAAACAATACCATATTGTTGAGGCTGTTGCTGTTATTGAAATTGCTGTGGATGTTGCTGCTGTTGCTGTGGTTGCTGATTTTGCTGTTGCTGCTGCTGTTGTTGTTGCAGAGCAGGTGAACGCCCGAAGATGTAAAAGGGCTGCTGCTGCTGAGACTGCGGCTGCTGCGTAAAAGGTGAGAATGCAAATCAGCTAGTACTTGGAGTTGGAGCTCCACGCATGTGACTTGAGCCGTCAAGGCTCATTCCACTAAACGCTGACGATGTTGACTGAGTTGAAAAATGCTGTGTTGTTGCCTGTTGTTGTGCTGTTGTCTGTGTTTGCTGTTGTTGCGCTGCAGGGACAGTCGATGAAGTCCCTGGAGTACTAACAGAAGAAGGATTTTGCTGCTGCTGCTGCATACCGATGTGAGCATAAGACGGTGGAAACGGTCCAGAGTCTGAGAGACCAGTGGCAGTCGAGGAGACAGGTACTCCAATAGTTTCGGAACTAGATCCGATAGATTTCTCTGGTGTTGTTCCAGTCATTCTTGATAGTATTCTTAATTCCAGACAGCTCTCATACCATGTAATAATTTGACAGGTGTTGCAAGAGACTAAGTATAGAATATGCAAACATGAACAATTGGAAAACCTCAAGTGTTAGCCTAGGATCTTTACTGGAATGGTAGACTAGTAAGATAGCGGAAGTCTCGAACTTGTAAAGTGTTGACCAGAATATTATGAAGAACAAGTTCAGAATCAAGTCCTGAATCACGTTAACTAAACAATGAAGACAGGCTACTTTTATATCTGACAAAAGTACATATTCGCTAATGTACCTGTTGACGTTATCGCGCTATGCGCCCTAAATGACACTGAATAGACGCGACTGTTCGCGGGACTGAAACGACTGTCCTCATGACGAGCGCAATTTGCTGACGTCGTCCTACGGACTTATCTCCTACAGTAGGATTCGACACTATCTACCGATAATAGACTTACAGAAATGCTAAGTATGAATCATGTCACAACATCGTCAACCTCCTAGTTCGTAAGTGATACTGTACTAGCTTATCTTCCCTCTCTTCTTTCCCTTATTCTCTTCCTTCTTTTGCTCCTTCCTCCTTTCCAGTATCATCCTCTGTCTTTTCCAATACCACCTACCTCTCTTGATAGACCAGCTTGTAAAAGGAAGCGTGAGTAATCGCCACTCAGCTTGAACAAAAGTTATGCATTCTACCCCTTCCCGCCTTGCCCTTTCCCTCTCTTCCTCTCCATACGTTGCCTTCTTTTCAATTCCATGCCTACTTTTGCCTCCACCTCATGCCTTCATTCCATTCCCTTCCGTTGTCTTCAATCCTTCTTTTCTCTCATCATTTCATCCCCTTCTTGCTTTGCGCCTAATCCGTCTTACGGGAACCCGTTATGTATGTCGCACTTCCTTCTTCTCCCTAACTCTCTATTTGTCCCGTTAGTGCTTGTTCTTTCTATTTCCATGTCTTTTATCCATGTTCTTTAATCCTGTTATTTCGTTGGTTTTTCTAATATGAATGCAAGGTCCCAACTTGAACCACCCTTTTAAATGTTGAGATTGCAATATGCTCGTTCTGCCTTTTTTCTGATTGCATAATATTTTGCTTTATCATTTCTGTTCAGTGCGTGCAGTCATGTTATGGTTACATATTGTTCCATCCCATCATCGCCCATTCCCATTGATTGGCAATGCATGCCTGCGTTTTTCAAAACGAGAAACCTTGCCTATCATATCGTAAATGGTTCATAGGCGTGCTCCTTGAGTGTAGTCCCTTGAACTGTATTTGATGGGTAGGGTTCTCGTTTTGGACTTCAGAGACTCTGTTGTTTCATTACATTGTTGATTACTCAACTCAAACACTAGGCTTGCTGATTTCCCCCCCATGCTAGTGCTGGGAAAGCGGTAGCCTAGAGAGTGTGTTTTCTACAGTGTCGCATAATAATCATAAATTTTATTGTAGATTCATGTCATGGACCATGCCATGTAAATTTTTCGAGAACGATTCGATTGGATCGATTGCTAGTGGCATGATGCAATCAAACACAAAGTTTGCCAAAACCCGACAGTAGATTTTCTGTTGGAAGTATCAACAATCAACAATCTATCTTTCAAAGATTGTATATATATTACAACTGAAATATGATTTACTAATTACATAAGGAGGAAGTCTAAAAATATGGTTCGATTTTGTAGGTAGTGTTTCAAATTCCCAAAATCTGCGTGGAAAAAAATATCCGCAAAATCGATCGCAATAGGTTGCTCCGCTCCGCAACCCAAAAAAGGGAGCAAAAATCACCAGTCAACCTTCTGGAACTCTTCATTTACTGCGGATGTTGTCGAGGCATCCATCACGTGACGAACACGCTGTTTCTCTTTCTGACGAATCAGCGACCTCCGCTGGCCTTCGGATATCTTTTTCGCTGGTTTCGTGCAGCATGGCTGAGTAGACCGAGGATCCCGTTGCCACATTTTTAGTGCCCACTGCCCAGCCATAAGGGGGGTGCTGGATTGGGGACCGTTCTGCGTCGTGTCATCCGCCTGTGTCGTAGAAGCATTCCTTAGAGCTAGTTTCGGCCGAGCCTAGCTCACAGGCAAATGTTGTACGACTCTGGCGGATGACACGACGCAAGAACGTGTCCTGCCCTGTCCTAGTTTGTTCTGTACTGAGCTGTTGGGGAAAGACAGTGATCAACGTGTGAGTGTGATGTTTTAGACTCAACACTTCAGGACTCGAGACCCTGATGTCTCTGCCGTCGCGTTGTTCATTCTGGAAGATTTCGTCCTTCAAAATGTTTCTACAAGAGAATCAAATCTGTCACCTGCATGTGAAAAACCCGTGAGTAATCATTATTCCGCAACGTTTCCAGGCTTCCTACCGACGCCATTGGCCTAAACGAGCCATCCAGATGGCATGCGGATGATTGCAGCCCAAACCTATGCCACTTCACGCGCAGGTGTCACGAGAGAAGTTTCTGAAAACCACATTCGAGGTGGTTGAACAATGACGTTTGGCACGGTAATTCCTGGGTGTGGTTTCATTGGGCGGTTTGAGCCTTGTTGTTGATGCCTTGCTGCTTGTCCAGCGCAGTGGAAGAGGAAGTAAATATATTTCATCAGTTGCAAGGTTCCCTACCTTCAAAATTTCGCATCCCTTCAAAGAAACTAATGCGAGGGAAAGAAGACAATAAGATTATTATGTTACAACCACACAACATCAGGGCTGTCCAATTCGGTCTGACATTTCGGGTTTTGCTATTGTAACCAGACACACGATTTCGCCACACTCGTTGCTTGCCGCAAGGTCCCAGGAAGTTGCAGCGGCATGCCGCATTTCCCCGCTCAGTCAGGGAAGTGTGGGTGCGCTGCGATTGGTGTCGCGACAATCCTGACATGATCTCCAATCTTGGCCTGGCATGAATCCTAGAGATCGGTTGTAAGCAATGCGGAACGATGCAGTGCGTTGGGGTTGAAGCCAACCGCTTTATCCATGGCTCTCGGCCAAGCCCAGAGGCTAAATGAGTTTCCCTCCACCCCACCCCATCCGGGCCATCCCATTCTCCGCCAGCCCAGCCGAACCCATTCAGCCATCCATGCTGCTGATGCGCGGCGATCTGTGAGCACTCGTCCAGACATGGGAGGGCAACGAGCAAAAGCGCCTCACGCATTCTCGCTGCCCCTCTTGGGGCAGCTTGCCCTTCAGTACAGTCTAGACATCAGTAACCTACAAGGACGAGGCTGCGATCAAGGACAGCACCGAGCGCAGGATCTTCACAACCGACAAATGCGCAAATAGGCTTAGTGCTGCGCAAGCCAATGTGCAACTCCACGGCGATGAATGCTGAACAGCCCGCGTCACTTGGTCCTCCAAAGCTTATGATGCATGATTTAGAGGTCGTGTATGCGACACAGTTTCTTCTGATCCTCGAAGTACAGTGCTGTAGTCTCGTCGAGCCGCGGAGCTGTGCAAGCTACCGCGCTTTCTTCAGCCAGAAAGCCTCCGCTCGAGGATCTCCAACGACCTGCCAGAGCTTCCAATCTCCGGTCCATTCTACGCAGTTTCTGCTCTTCGGGGCGATAGTATTTTGGCTTCTTCGCGATTGTAGCTAACTCTGCGGTTCGGTCCGAATGCATGGTGGATTCTGACAAGCTTGCGTTCGCGCGTGAAGTCGCCTGTTCATCGCGAAGATACCTTTCCGCCGTGTACAGAAACCCGTAATGTCCGGCACCGTCACGGTAGCCGAATAGTGAGAAGGCCCCAAGTGGTTCAGAGTATCGGGTCCAACAGCCGCCTACTCGCCGGCTTCGATGGACCGCCATCATTTTTAGGCGCGCCATCACGAAAATAGACTCCTCACGATGGACCGCCACCAGCGCAGAGCCGTAGGAACGCAGCCATGTGAAGCGAGCAGCGCCGTGATTCCCTGCGATACTGCATCCGCCTCTCCCAGCACGTCACTCCTGGCCGTCGATTTCCGACATCCGATGTCGAATCCTTTCTCATCCGTACACGCCGCGACAGCTCTCCATGACCCCGTATCCGTCGATCGCTGGCCCATGCTCGGTTCGGTCAGCACTACTAGCAGTAGCAGCACGATAGGCGCCACACACCTCGAGAGTGCCGCGGCGCGGCCATCATTTGACGCCGGTTTGCAGCGGATATTGGACAACTCGTCGCTCGACCAGAGCTTCAGCAGCGCAGGGCCGGATCCTTTCGGCGGACGCCTTTACCCCTTCTACTCCGCACAACGCCCGCGCCTGCCCGCGCGCTCACTGCGCGGAGACCCACCCGGCGGGCTCGCGAAGCCACTTCCGACTTCTATTTCGAACCCTTCCGCCCCCGCGCATCGCCTTACCTCCGAGGGTTTTCTTCCTGTCGTTCCCGAGGCTTTCGCGGCCCCGGCGGGGGGTTCGAGTCCCGTGCGCGGGCTCGTGTCGCTCCCCGACTGCCTCCACGGCCTCTTCGCCTCCTCTGCCTTCCCCGCCCATTCTGCGCCTTCCGCGGGCTTCCCCGCTTCCGCTGACCTTGCGCATTCCGCTGGCCCCCGCGTGCATGAAAATGCCCCTGACGGTGCGCATCTCCGCGCCTCACTCGCGCCGTTTCTGCTTCCGCCAGCGCGAGAGCACGGCCACGCAGCGTCAACCGGCGCGGTAGCGGGACGATGGGAGAGCGAAACAGCAACGTGTGTAGCCGCGGAGTCGGCGGCGGGCTTTGCGGTCGGAGATTGCGGTCGTCTGCTCGGCGACGGCTCCTCGAGGTGGCGAGGGGCACCTCTGGAGCGCGGCGATCCCGTCGCCGCCGAAGCATCAGCGTGGACCGGTGCGCCGGCGGCAGAGGAGCATCGAGCGCGGGAGCAGCGGCAGCGGCAGCAGGCGGAGCTGGCGGAAGGCGGAGGAAGCGTGGGCGCGGAAGGGGGGTTGGGCGGTGGCGGCATGGTGGGGGATGAGCGCATGTGGGACATGGGCGGGGCGGCGATGGGTGTGGACCTGGGGTTGCACGGCTCTCACGGCGCGGCGTTTGACGGCGCGGCGGCCACAGGCATGAGCGACTTAAGCAGCGGCATGGTGATGAGCATGCGCAGTGGCTTGGGCATGGATGTGGGCGCTATGGACATGGATAGGGGCGGGCGCACGCCCATGTGTGTGGGTATGGGTATGGGCATGGGCATGCGCATGGGCATGGACACGCCAATGGTGGACATAGAGGCGGCGGTGGCGATGGAGATGCGGTGCGCCGACGAGCTGCTGGCGCGCACGGCGTCCATGCGGGAGGACGACGCGCCGGCACTGCCGCGAGAGCCGGCAGGCGGCATAGAGGCGGCGGGCTTCGCTCACGCGGCAGGACTCCCTCTTGGTGCGGCTTCGATGGAAGCCGTGCACACCCCTCCGCCTCCTGCTGCAACCCCTCCGCTGTCAGCTCCTGCAGACCTGACGCCGCCTGTGCCAGCCGTAGCGTCTGAAGCGCCCCCCTTGTCCCCCTTGTCGCCCTTGGCGCTCTACTCCCGCCGCAACTCGTGGCCAGCGGCGCCGCTGCCGCCATCAGCGGACGCGGCGCTGATGCAAGCGCTGGAGCTGGAGCGGCTCGAGCACGACGCCGCCATGGCTAGCGTCACCGCCATGGCCGCCGCAGGCGCCGCTCCCCACGCCCCGCCTCTCTCAATGTCTCCTGCTTCCCTACCCCCCAGTGCCGGCCTGTCAGGTGCAGTCCCCTCCAATGCGCGCCCATGCCACGCCATGGCCGCCGCCGCAGAGGAATCTCCCTTCCTGCCCGCCCTAGGCTTCTCCTCGCCAGCCAAGCGAGCCAAGCCACTCCAGCGGCAGCAGCAGCAGCAGGAGGGTGTGAACGCCGAATTGCTTCTGAGCCAAAGCCCGGAGCCCCAGCCACTGCCGCACGCCCCTACGCCTGCGCCCGCTGTTGCCACTGCCCGCCCTGCTGCCCCAGCAGTCGTCTCATTGGCCGAGGTCTTCCGCATGGAGGCGCTGATGGCGGGCGGGGGGGAGGGGGAGGGGGGGCGGGAAATGGCGTGGGAAGGGGAGGGGCGTGTTGCGGGTGCGCGCAACAGTCAGGCTAGCAGGCACGTGGAGAGGGAGGCGAGGGAGGGGGAGAGGCGAGAAGGCACGGAGAGGCGACGGCGGGGAGGCATGGAGGCGGGAGAGGGCGCGTCAGCAGGGCAGTGCAGGGAGGCGGGGGCGCGCAGTCCTGGCGATGCTGCCATGGATGGCCGCATGGAGAGGAGGGCGATGAGCAGTGGGGGTGGCAGGGGGGGTGGCGGCAGTGCAACCCGTCCCAGCACCACCCTTCCCTGCGCTCCAGAATCGCTGATAGCGGGGCAAGGCAGTGGGGTGGGAAGGGGCGGTGAGGGGTCCAGGTGCGGTGGGGGTGCAGCGAAGCGGGCGACAAGGGAGGGGGGTGAGGAGGAAGGCAGTGGGCGGGCTGTGAGGGCTGCTAAGCCAGCAAGCGCTGCTGGTGGGGGTACTGGTAGCGGGGCAGGAGAAATGTGCACCCCAGCAACGGTGCCAGTAGCGGTGTGTGCCAAGCGCCCTGGCCCATGGGCGCCTAGCGACCTCACCTTCTCTCTCACCCACCTCCCCAAAGCAGCGCCATCGGTGCACGACGTGTTGGCCCGCCACTTTGAGGCCCCTCAAGAGCACCGGCCCGGTGTGGCGCCAGCTGTGCACGAGCTGTTGGCCCGCCGCCACACCGTCTCCAGCACTCCCTCCCTCCGCCAACACGGCTTCCGGAAAATCATGCCCCACCCCTCCCTCCCTTTCCCCGTCAATCCCTCCCCCATGCCCTCGCTTCGAGGCCCTCTCCCACTCTCCCCTTGCTCTCTTGCCTCCCTCCATCTCCTGCCCACCACGCCTGCTGCTGCTGCTGCTGCAGTGCCGTCTGCTCCCCCCCTCTTCGCCTCTCAGCCGCCCTTCAGCGCCCCCCTCGCCATGCACCCCCACGCCCCTTCACCCCCCTCCACCACGCCAGCTCCCCTCCCCTTCCTCCCCACGCATCCCCTCCCTTTCCGCTTCCGTACCCCTCCCCTCCCCCCCACGTCCCCTCCTCTGTGCGTCACGCCCAGAGGAGCAATCAGCGCTGGTGGCGGCGGCAGCAGCAGCAGCAGTGGGAGCGCAGGAGGTGCGGGGTGCGTTTTCCAGTCAAGGGAGCCTCCCAACTTCATCCCACCGACTTCCGTCCTTGAGCATCAAGCCCTTCAAGCCAGTGTGTTCCATTCTTTATCCAAGCGAAGCCTCTCCTCCTCCATGCTCCCCTCCTCCACGCTCCCCACACCCCTTTCTTTTCCACCATCTGCCCCACGCCAACCACAAACCTTTCTGCCCTTGTCAGCAGCACCGCCCGCCTTCGCTTCCTCCTCCTCCCTCCTCCCTTTCCTTCCAAACAACCCCCAGCACGACCCGCTGCGGTGTTTGGGATGTGGAATAGAGTTGGACCAAGAGAATGCCAAGGAAGCCTTAGCCCTGCCGGAGGGGGTGGGCCCTCCTTTGCCTCCTGGGTCCGAGATGCTGGCGGGGCGCATCCCGCGTGTGCACGGGTGCAACGAGTGCTTGCCCCTCCTCGTGCCCAGCTACTTTAGTAGGCGAGCAGCTGCTAATAAGCACACTCCTAACAAGTCCACTTGAATTGCTATATGATGAAGGTTATATGGAATCTTATGATTCTTATGAGAGATCTGTCAACGAGGTGTACCTCGACTCGATTAAACATTTGTTTTCTCTTCGCCGCAACCTCGATATCATCACTCCCCTCAAATTTGCCCCCCCTCAAATTGGTGGCCTCGTGAAATTCATGAGCTATCTGATTCCCTAGGGTTCCCTAGGGTCTTCTGTGGGTATATTATTCCTTGCTTGCCGTCAGCCCCTTACACGTCGATCGTTCCGCGCGTCTCGCTTCTTCCGCACATGCACGCCGAACGGGTGAGATTTCACGAAAGTACCTGGCGTGCTGGTGTGCTGTTATTTCGCACCGGTCTCCTCGCCTTCCGATCCGGATGCCTGCAGATGCCACAGCAGAGGTGCTAGAGCATGGTCGCGGGGAATCTTCCCCGCACAAGCGAAAGCGGGGAGACGCGGAAGGGGAGGATCCGCGCAGCCGTCTCAACTGCAGAGGACTGGCGAGTCTAGACCCAGAGAATACCGACGATGGACGCGCGGAGAGCGTTTTTGGCGCGAGCATGGAGCAGGATTGGGAGACGAGAGCGATGCAAGCGGTGGTGGAATTGGACACGAGCAGTGATGAGGACGGGGAGGAGGGAGCAGCGCGGAGGGGGGAAGGGGGCGCGGAGAGAGAAGGACATGCATGCTTGAAGCGGCGAGGAGAGGTAAGGACTGCAAAGGAGAGACATGCGACGAGGGGGGTGGAGGAGAGCGACGACGCTGAGGATGGTAGAGCACTGGAGGGCTGTGGGCCGTGCGGACGATGCGGAGGATGCGGGAGGGCGAGGGAAGAGGTGAAGCAAGAGATGGTGGAGGAAGCGATGCGAGGCCTGGGATGTGAGGGTGCACCTGCTCCCATGCATGCACCTGTGCGATCAGCAGCACCAGCACCAGCACCAGCACCAGCACCAGCACCAGCACCGGCACCGGCACCAGCACCAGCACCAGCACCAGCACCAGCGCCAGCACCAGCACCAGCACCAGCGCCAGCACCAGCACCAGCACCAGCACCAGCACCAGCACCAGCACCAGCACCAGCGCCAGCACCGGCACCGGCACCAGCACCAGCACCAGCGCCAGCACCAGCACCAGCACCAGCACCAGCACCAGCGCCAGCACCGGCACCAGCACCAGCACCAGCACCAGCACCAGCACCAGCGCCAGCACCAGCGCCAGCACCAGCACCAGCGCCAGCATCAGCGCCAGCACCAGCGCCAGCATCATCAACATCACCAGAAACGGCACCAACAACAGCACCAGAAACGCTGCAGAAATCAGGCGAGCAGAAATCAGGAGAGCAGAAATCAGGAGAGGCATTAGGGGAAGAGTTGCAGCGAGGCAGTGAGAGAATGGTGGAAGGGGAGGAGAGGGTGGGGTTGGGGCAAGGGAGCAGTGGAGCAGGTGGGGCAGAGAGCACTCCTTGCCCTCACAACCCCGCGCCATGCCCTCCTCACAACCCCCTGACATGCCTTCTTGACAACCCCGTGCCATGCCCTCCTGACAGTCCCGTGCCATGCCCTCTTGACAACCCCGTGCCATGCCCTCCTGACATTCTCGTGCCATGCCCTCTTGACAACCCCGTGCCATGCCCTCCTGACCGTCCCGTGCCATGCCCTCTTGACAACCCCGTGCCATGCCCTCCTGACAGTCCCGTGCCATGCCCTCTTGACAACCCCGTGCCATGCCCTCCTGACAGTCCCATGCCAAGCCCTCTTGACAACCCCGTGCCATGCCCTCCTGACAGTCCCGTGCCATGCCCTCTTGATAACCCCATGCCATGCCCTCTTGACAACCCCGTGCCATGCCCTCTTGACAACCCCATGCCGGGCCCTGAAACGCCGGTGCAGCGCACTGAAAAGGCCAAGGCATTGCCCGAGGCTACTGAGAATCCCTCTGTGAGTTCCTCTAAGTTACCTGAAGAACAGCCTGAAAGCGGCAGTGGCGTCAGCAGGAGTGTGCCACAGGAGCTGCTTGCACAGGCTGAGGGAACAGGTGGTGGTGACCTCTCACCATCTCAAGCGGCATCTGCTGATGCAAACGATGCAGCGGTTGCTTCTCATGCCGACCGGCCCATTCCACCTCCCAACAGCCCTCCACTGCCACGACAGCAGGAGCTTCCATGTCAGCATCTGCCCAGTCACAACACGTCAGCACAAGCCGAGCCAGAGAATTTGACGGGCACTGCAGAGGAAAGGAGGGAGGGAGGTGCTGCTGGTACCCAAAGCCACCTGCTTGCGCCGTGTGTATCTGCCGGATTGCAAGACCTCATGGGAACTGCTCGTGCGGCTCTTGAGGATCTGGAGGCGGTGATTGGTGAGGTAGAGATGAGTTGGCACCCAGATGTGCGGGCGATGGCTCTGGAGGAGATGTGGGACGTGGGGAAGGCGGCTGTGCAGAGGATGGAAGAGAAGAGTGATCATGTAGTGATGGAACATAGGAGGAAGCTAGATAAATGCCTGGAGGAATTAGATCGGTGGCTTGAAGCAGAGGAAGGAAGACAAAGAAGAGAAGCTAACTAATGTAATGCGGACAATGAATAGTGCACTCCGCCTTTTCAGAGCAGAACTCATTTTGAGTTTGTAGCGAGAAATATTTTGCCGCAGGTTCTGTTTCCCCCACCACTTCTCACTTATGAATTATCCCTCGCGTTTCCTGCACTCCCGAGAAGTAGTTTGCCCCGTCATTCGAGCTGCCGCCTCGTCAGTTTCGGGCGATTCGAGACTCTCTTTCATCATCAACTTAACCACTTCGCACGCTCGATAATCCACCGCCACGTTATTCGTCGCGTGGCCCGGCGTTGAAAGCGCGTTTCTTTCGCGGCGATGGAGGAGGAGGCGATCGAGCGAGCCGTCCTGGCATATCTGCGCCGCAAGGGCTACAAAAATGCTGAGCTGGCGTTTAAAGACGACTCCAAGACGCAGTCGCTCGATGCGCTCGTCACGGTTGGCGGGAAGGCGGCGGCTGCTGAGCTGGACAAGAATCTGGCCAATCAGATCATGCTCTACAGCAGGTGAGGAATCGTCACCGCCGTAACCCTAACCCTAACTTACACCATACATGCAGCAACCTTTCTTTAGCATTGCGATAACTGCGATTTCGTACATAAGTGGTCCAGCGGAGTCATGGCCTCTCAACTGTTGCAGTGCCACGTGTCCCTCTCCCGCGCGTTGTCTTGTTCAGGTCCGAGAAGGCACCCGCGTGCTACGTGGAAGGTTACCGGAAACTCCGCGCGTGGGTGCATTCGTCCCTGGACCTGTACAAGGTACCTTGGTACCTTGCTCACACAGCTCTGTCTCCCCCATCGTCTCCTTCTGGGGAATTCCCCCTTCCCCCCCCCCCCCCCCCCCTCCCCCATCTCTTACCTCTCTTCGCGTCTATTGATTCACCGACCCATTTTGCAATGCCCCCCGCCCCTCCTCTTCCTCCCACCCCCCCCACACCCTCCCCCCCGTCAGAACGAGCTGCTGCGCGTGCTGTTCCCCGTGTGCGTGCACGCCTTCCTCGAGCTCGTCACGCAGGACCACCCGGCGGCGGCGCGCGCGCTGATGGAGGGGTGCCGCGCCGACCACGAGCGGCTGCACGGCAGCGACCTGGCGCAGCTGGCGGGCATCAGCGCCGCGCAGCACGTGCTCGAGAGCCCGCTCGCCAAGGCGTTCCGAGAGAACAAGGCCGTCATCCGCATGTGCCAGGTGCGGCCGTCATCCGCATGTGCCAGGTAATAAGAAGCGGCATGCTGAAATGCAAACAGCCCCTTTTACCACTGGTCGCCTTTTTTTTTCTCATTGTTTCCGTTTGTTTGCTCTGCACCCCTTGCCTCTGTGTTATCCAGTTCACGTGCACCTCCCTGCTACGCATGCCCCCTGGCTCTTCACCATGCCCCATGCCCCGCACCACCCCCCCCCCATGTGTTCACCCGGCGCGCAGTACTCGTTCGACCTGCTGCTGCAGTTCCTTCACTCCGCCGACCTCATGGCCGTCCTCGCCCTCGTCAACCGCCACATCCACATCATCGGTGCGTCACGCACAGCCCCAACACCCCCCAGCACCCCCAGCACCCGCCAGCACCCGCCAGCACCCGCCAGCACCTGCCAGCACCTGCCAGCACCTGCCAGCACCTCCCAGCATCCCCCAAACCGAACAACCCCCAGCCCCTGCCAGCACCACCCAGCATCCCCCAGCACCCCCCAGCGCGTCCAGCTAACTCGCCTGGCGTCCAGCTAACTGGCCTGGCGTCCAGCTAACTGGCCTGGCGTCCAGCTAACTAGCCTGGCATCCAGCTAACTGGCCTGGCGTCCAGCTAACTGGCCTGGCGTCCAGCTAACGTGCCTGGCGTCCGGCCACATCAATTGGCCAGTCACAGGCACACTGGTGAGTCAGATCCACAGCAGCCCGCGCTATTCGCAGCTTTCCCAGTTGATGCACTGCAGCAGTTGATGCGCTGCAGCAGTTGATGCACTGCAGCAGTTGATGCACTGCAGCAGCTGATGCGCTGCAGCAGTTGATGCACTGCAGCAGTTGATGCACTGCAGCAGTTGATGCACTGCAGCAGTTGATGCGCTGCAGCAGTTGATGCACTGCAGCAGTTGATGCACTGCAGCAGTTGATGCACTGCAGCAGTTGATGCACTGCAGCAGTTGATGCGCTGCAGCAGTTGATGCACTGCAGTAGTTGATGCACTGCAGCAGCTGATGCACTGCAGCAGTTGATGCACTGCAGCAGTTGATGCACTGCAGCAGTTGATGCACTGCAGCAGTTGATGCACTGCAGCAGTTGATGCACTGCAGCAGCTGATGCACTGCAGAAGGCCCCTCTGGTCGGCCATGCCTTCCCTCCTTCCCTCTCAACCCCTTTGCCTCACCTCCTCCTCCCGTGCCCTCTCCTCCCCGCCCTCTCTCCCCTCACCTGTCGGGTGCTCCCCTGTGCGCAGTGCATGCGGGGCGGCCAGCAGCGCAGGAGGAGGAGGAGGACGAGGCGACGGGCATGGTGGGGGGCGCGGAGGGGACGACGGGGGGCGGCATGCTGGCGGGGGTGGTGACGGGGGCGTCGATAGAGGCGCTGCGGCGCATGGGGCAGCGTGAGGTGCTGTGGGGCGCGCTGGAGGACGGCGTGGAGGACCGTGCTGAGAGGGAGCGGGAGAGAGAAGGGCAGGAGGGCGAGGAGGGGGGCAAGGAGGGCGAGGGGGAGGATGGCAAGGTGAGAGGGGCGGGTGGGACGGCCACGGGGAGGGATGCTGTGTATTTTTGCAGGAGTGCCGGGAAACCTAGCGGTGGCAAGGTGTGAGTGGGGGGGTGAGAAGGGGTCTGGGGGTGGGTAAGTGCACTTCAGGGGAGGCTGTGTGTTGTGTGCGGTTGTCTTTCGCATTGGCAGCAAGTAGAACTCTCACTCCCTCTCCCCCGATTACTGGCCTGTCTTACTGTGTGCTGCACCACTCCCCTCAGAAGCGGGCGGCGGACGGCAAGGCAGCAGCAGGGGGCCCGGGCGGCAAGAAGGGGAAGAAGGACAAGGCGGGGGAGAAGGACGCACTCAAGGGGGGCGCGGGGGGAGGAGCAGGGGGCGCAGCAGGGGCAGGGGGAGGCGCTGGAGGGGGAGGGAAGGGGGGGAAGGCAGGGGAGGGCAAGGGGGCGAGTGGTGCTGCCGCTTTGACAGGCACACGCGTGGCGTCACACCTGCCTCTTCCCAAGATGTGAGCGCGCCCTGCCATAAGGGGTGTGTCTGCCATAAGGGGTGTGTCTGCCATAAGGGGTGTGTCTGCCAATGCCGCACTGTACAGCTGACTATCTTTCTCATCTCTGATGACGCCCCGCCTCTCTCCCGCCGTCTCCACGTCTTGGTGGCTGTCCTCCTCCTCATTGAGTTTCAAGACGTCTTGGTGAGGTGACCATGCTTCTCACTGACTCAGTTCACGGCACAGCCCACACAGCCCACAGCCCACACAGCCCACACAGCCGACACAGCCCACAGCCCACACAGCCGACACAGCCCACAGCCCACACAGCCGACACAGCCCACAGCCCACACAGCCGACACAGCCCACAGCCCACACAGCCGACACAGCCCACAGCCCACACAGCCGACACAGCCCACAGCCCACACAGCCCCTACAGCCCCTACAGCCCCTACAGCCCCTACAGCCCCTACAGCCCCTACAGCCCCTACAGCCCACACAGCCCCTTTTCATCTCTCTCCGTCCATAACCCCCCCGCCACGGACACACACACAAGGCGCGAGGAGGCGGAGCGGCAGGTGTTTGACGACCTGAGGAGGCGCGTGGCTCTCGGTGCACAGGCCCTGCCGTCCGTGTGCTGCTACACACTGCTGCACGCACACACCAGGTACACCCTTGCCGACCTGATTTGGGTACAACTGTACATGGGTGCTCTCATGGGGGTAGTATTCTTGTGCCCCTGCTTATCGTTCCCTCACCTCCGCACCCTCCCATGCCCCGGAACCCCCCATCCCTGCTGCCTCTCCTTACTGCCCCCGCCCAGCATGACATCCGTGTCTGTTGCGCCCGATGGCGCGCTGCTGGCTGCAGGCTTCAATGACTCCTCCATCAAGGTGAGAGTTGTGCATTCACTCTCACTCAATCATGCGCCAACTTCACTCATACATTCGGCTAATGCTCATGTATCATGGTAGTGTTAATGCATGGTAGCAATCACCGTGACGTCTGCTGGATTTCCTCTCGCCCATGTGCGCTCTCACCACCATGTCCTCTCGCCCATGTGCGCTCTCACCACCATGTCCTCTCGCCCATGTGCGCTCTCACCACCATGTCCTCTCGCCCATGTGCGCTCTCACCACCATGTCCTCTCGCCCATGTGCGCTCTCACCACCATGTCCTCTCGCCCATGTGCGCTCTCACCACCATGTCCTCTCGCCCATGTGCGCTCTCACCACCATGTCCTCTCGCCCATGTGCGCTCTCACCACCATGTCCTCTCGCCCATGTGCGCTCTCACCACCATGTCCTCTCGCCCATGTGCGCTCTCACCACCATTCCTCTCCACCTCCCCTTCCCCCTCTCTTCCCCTCCAAACGTCTTCTGCCGCGCAGATCTGGGACATGCGGTCCGTGGGCTCTACCCCCCTTCCTCAGAGTATGCCTCCACTTCTCCTACCCTCACATCCCCCTCTCACTCCTCATCTCGCATTGCTCATCCCATATCTCTCACCTCGCATGTCAGGTTTTCTTCACAATCAAATTTCATATATCTCTTCAACTCTAACTTCCCCCCTCCTCTCCCAGCCGCCCTGTCTCTCGACACCTCTGCAGCAGCCGAAGCTCCCTCAGCAGCGGGGCAACAAGCAGCAAGCGGACTACCCACAGCCCACCACAGCAGCAGCACCACCACGCGGTACCGGGCGCTGCGCGGCCACAGCGGCGCGGTGCACGCGTGCTCCTTCAGCCCCGCGGACGACCGCTTCCTGCTCTCCGCCTCGGCGGATGCGTCGGTGCGGCTGTGGCACGTGGAGATGGGCACGTGTCTCGTGGCGTACCGGGCGCACTGCTACCCCGTGTGGGACGTGCAGCACTCGCCCGTCGGCCACTACTTCGCCACCGCGTCGTATGACCGCACGGCGCGGGTGTGGAGCATGGAGCGGTCTTACCCTCTGCGCATCATGGCGGGCCACCTGTCGGATGTGCATGTGAGTCTCTTACGAGCACCTCAGTCGTCTCCTCTTTTGAGTCGACTCAAAACTCAGTTGTCTCCTCTTCACCACGACGTCCTCCAGCGTTAGGGCCACATCCCACGCCTCTGTGACCACTCTTCTAACGCTCTGGCTCCCCCCTCCTCTCTCCCCCCCCCCCACCCCCAGGCGGTGCGGTGGCACGCCAACTGCAACTACATCGCCACGTGCTCCAGCGACAAGACGCTGCGCCTGTGGGACGTGCAGACCGGCGAGTGCTGCCGAGTCTTCGCCGCCCACCGCTCGCCCGTGTATGCACTCGCCACCTCCCCGGACGGGCGCTTCCTGGCATCAGGCGACGAGGGCGGCGCTGTGCTGCTGTGGGACCTGGGCACTGGCCGCTGCATCGCTCCCTTGCTGGGGCACACGGGCTGCGTTTGGTCGCTTGCCTTCAGGTGAGTGTGTGTTCTCCTCTGTACACTCCCTAGGTTCAAGAGTCGAGGAGGGCGCCGTGCTGCTGTGGGACTTGGGCACTGGGCGCTGCACCGCTCCCTTGCTGGGGCACACGGGCTGTGTGTGGCCACTTGCATTCAGGTGGGTGGGTTATTCCCCTGGTTTGCCTGGCACATCACCCTGGGGCCTGGCGTTTGGGGACGAGGGCGAGGTGTGAGCAGGCGTCACTGCTGCTCTCCACAAGCCCGCTCTGACCTGCACTGCACTGCTTCAATCCCACGCCCACGTCACCGCACCCTTCTCTGCTGTATGCGGTTCCTCCCTCGCCTCGCCCTTATCTATTGCTCCCCGTCCTCACCTCACCTTCCTCACTCGTTTCTCCTCCCCCTCCCACCCGCTCCGTGCAGTGGCGAGTCGGCGGTGCTGGCGTCGGGGGCAGCGGACGACACGGTGAGGCTGTGGGACGTTGCTGCAGCCAGCAAGCTGGCTCCCAACGAGGCCAAGTGAGTCGCAGGGGCCATCAATCCCAACAGCGTTCCCATCATTAGAGCCACTAGTGTCTCCCTTGAAGCACACCTCCTGACCGCCAGAACACCTGCTGGCTTTCTGTGTTGCCCCCCCCTCCTGTGCTTGTGAATCCACCCTCCTCATTCCCCTCACCCAATTTGTCATTCCCCCCATCACATTGCATCAGGACGTCAGTGGGTCGGCGCCTGCGCCTGCTCAAGACCTTCCCCACCAAGTCAACGCCCATCTCCGCCCTGCAGGTATCCCCCAGTCAACGCCCATGTGCCATGTTGCCTGCTCTGAGCCCATCAAGTGATCTCCTCTTGCCTGCCAAGCCTCACCCGTGCATGCCGTGCTTGCTATCCCCTCCCTCCCGCTCTGCAGTTCACGCGGCGCAATCTGCTCATGGCAGCGGGTGCCTTCAGCCACTCCGACCCTCCTTGATGCTGCACGTGCCAATGCGGGTTCACTTCACATGGTCACAGCATGCCAATAGAATGCAGTTGCGCATGCAACATTACATGCCGCAATTTTGTATGCTACAGCACTGCTTTGGTAGCTATCAATCAATACTGCCCCTCCCTCCCGGTCTCATTTGTTTCCTAGCAGAAGGCTGCTGTATGCCTCTCCTACAAGTTTCTGAACGACCGCTAGGTATGCACTGGCCCACATTACGGTATCAAGTCAATCATGGGCCGCCAAAAAAAATCATGAGGGCTTCAGACCACACCACAGTATGCTGAAGTTACACAAGTACATTTAAGGTTGTGCTAAATAACCTCACGGGAAAAATATGTGGATCCAGCTAATATCTGGTTTAGCAAACAAACAGTATGGACACTGGACAGCACACTAACGCCATTATTGACATTCACACGTGCTGCCTTGGCTCCGTCAGCACCACTCGACTCGTCAACTGTAAGAGGCACAAGAACAAAAGAACAGCGGAAGACTTCTCATCGCGCCCATGGGTTCGTCATCAACCCTCCGCGCTGCGACCCTGTCACTGCATGCGCCGGTGCGCCGCCCATCCCGGCTCCTTGCGCCACCATGGCTGCGCGCGCCTGCGTCAACCCCGCGGGATGCAGCGCCTGCTCCACTCCCCCCCACGCCTCCACTCCCCCCCATCCCTCCCCCTCGTCCACGTCCATCGCGCAGTCGCCCATCATCCCACCGCCCCGCCGCGCGCCTCCCGCCTGCGCCCTTCCCATCCCCGCGGCTATATCTCCGGAGACTACCCCCGCGTGCCAGGGGCTCTCGTACCGCTCGCCGAAAACGCTCCGCGGCTGTCGCGATGTTTGCGCAGCGGCGGTCCCTCGACGCTCCGCGCGCGTGCTGCAGACCTCCTCCTCGCTGTCAGATCCCCCGCCCTCCGCGCCGTGCGCGACCTTCGCGGCCTGGCTGCGCGCGTGCACGCTGCTCGCATCGTTGACCGCGTTAACAGCCGCGGCGGAGCGGTCGGATTTGCGCGCCGAGCGGATGCAGTCGAGCGACCGCCGGCGGCGGGAAGGGTCGTTGTGCGGCGCGTAGAGACAAGCCCAGTCCGTAACCCCCCACGCTGCACTCGCCGCCGCCGCTGGTGCAGGCGCTCCCGTTGTTTGGGTGCGAACAGCTGAAGCGGAATGGTCGAACGCCGCTTCTGGCTGTGGTTGCATGACAGGCTGTCCGCCCGGCCGACCGAACACATCCTGGCCGTTGAAGGCGCTGTTGCGGTGCACTGGACGCTCGAGATCGTCGATTTGGAGGGACATGCGGCGGGTAGTGGGGATGGGGGACTCGACCGCAGTGGACATGGGGGAGGGGGAGGGGCATGGGGAGTGCGCGGAAGGCGGAGCGGCGGAGACCTCCATTGCGACCATGGCGGAGTGCAGCTCCAGGCGCTGGCGGTGAGAGCCGCCCATGGAGAGACGCTGAAACATCCTCGCGAGCTCGACTTGGTGCACCGCCTTCTGTGGCCGCTTGATTGACTTCAACTACTGGACAGGATGATAGCCGCTTATTGTACACGAAGTGCTGCGGCCAAGGCGGTTCCGTCCGTCTACCCTGAGCTCGGCTTGCTAGTTGATGCACTTAACAAAACAGGAGTAGCAAATGTTAACTGTTGTGTGTACTGGAGGCCATACATAAGGTGGGAGGAGAGAGGAGGGGAGGGGAGGAGAGGGGAGGGGGGAAGGCAGAGTGTGCGGGGAAGTTCAAGGGGAGAGAGTCTGGCCGCAAGCCTGAGGTCCGAGGGGAGAAGAATCCCTTGCCCCCCTCACTTCGCGCGCAGCTGCGGATCCCTCATGCCCCTTCATTCATTTTTGCCCGTGAGAAATCCGCTGCCCTCGCACTTCTCCCCCGATGAACCTCATCTGCTTCCCCTGACAGCTACCTCTTTTGTCGCGAAGCACGTTCTTCCGCCTCGCTGTACACTAGATTTCTGAAAGCGGTTTAATTGTTTTTTGGCCGCTTAATTTAGTAACGGACGCCTTCAAATCGCTGGCAAATTGGGCCTGAAGGTAGGACCATGGTTACCCGTTTGGCAGGACCCTTGGAACAAGGAAGACATTCGTTGTTTCTCCCGTGTACCCCGGTAACTGTCGCACAATCGCACCCTGGTTCTGAGTCAACCTACAATTGTTCCTTCTGCATGTTCGCTCCCAGCAGTGTCGCAAGTGGTTGAGCCGCCCAAAATTGGGCCAGTCCAGGACGAGCCATTGCCTGTAAATCCGTGCCAGTCGGACTGACGAGTGCATGGAGGCTTCTGACGAATGAGCGGTTCACTGGACGTCATGTGTATTCACCTCCCCTTCCCCACCGAGCAGTTGGTGCGCCACACTCCACTCTTCACCCCTGCTGCCCGACTGCGGCGAACTCGAGCTGCCCCGCAGTCGAAGATTTTGGGGCTGTAAGATAAACGCCAGCTGTGCTAGAAGGGGCTGGCTGGCCTAGCCCAACAGGTCAGGCTTGGGCAGGTGAAAGTTTTGTCGTCGGTACAGTAAAGTTTTCGGGTTCGTACAGTGCGAATAATTCCCGACAAGTGAACCCGCCCGCTGCCAGTCTGTCTGGGTCGAGCACTTATACAAATGGTCCCCATACATCCTCAAACGCGTCGTCGTATCTTTTCCCGCCTCCTCCATGAGTTGGAAAACAACATGCTGGTGACCACAGAAACTGGGTTGCAGGAGCATCAGCAGGGGATGAGCGTTTTTTCCTGCGGCCCTGAATGAGCTGCTTGTAAATGAGCGATGCACGAACGGGTGTTGCCCTGGATGTCAAGTACAGAAAATGCTTCTCTCGACTACCCGTTAATTCATTCAGATTACCCAATACTGGTCTATCTTACGTGATCAGCCAAACCCTTTCAATCTTGAAAATGTGGAAATATGTTTACACAACCACATCAAGACCGCAGTAGACTGTACATAAAGTTTCGGTGCATTGTGCCGTTGAAGTACGGGCACCTTGGAAAATCACTAGACAAAATAATGGCCTTGGCCGCCAATCACGGCCTTACAGCAACACAGGCTGTTGTGGCTGTTGCAACCATTCGTTTCGAGGCTGGTGCTGTTGCTGACGGTGTGAAGTCGTTTGTGAAAAAATTCCAGTCGACGCTCCAATAGGACAACGAAGAATAAACTGCTTTCTCAAAGTTCCATTGGCAGGAAGCCGATCCAACCGCAAACACCCAATCCTGCGGCGCAAAAAAATGTACGGCAATATCTAGGCACGCCGTTGGATTTTGATGGGTATGATCAAGGATTTCTCCAGTTCAGAAAGGCAGACAGAGAGCTCCTTTTGTCACAACAGGCTTGAAATGTTCCCTTTCCCAAAGCCACTTCACCACAAAATAGCAATAAGCCGTAAGTCATAATAAGGAACAACTATGCCATAGGCAATATTGTTTTTAATCTTAATGAACCTCATGTTCATATTATGAATTTAATTGGCCAATACATGATATTAGGGCCTTTCGCGTAATCCAAGAACATGAGAATTTTGATGTGGTAGCTCTTAATAATCTAGACACAAGAATATTCTTACCAGGACCTGATAGATGGTTTAATTTGATATCCACGAGAGAAGGATGAAAGTTTTCCTTCACAGCAACATCACATCGGCGGAGTTACCAGTTTCGTTAACCCTCTCGCATCATTCGCACAATACCACCATGATGGTACAAAATGCTGGGATTGAATCACATCGACATTCCACAATTCCAGAATCCCATTCCTCCGTACTACATACAGTAACTACTGCTCCCCTTATTCTGCCCCCCTTGAAGCGGCGTCTGTTGCCTGCATCCTCCTAATCCCATGGCAGCTGCGGCTCCGCCTGTTGCGGAGCAAGCGACAGTATCTCGAGCTGCAGAATGGCCCGAGCTATCCGCCGTCGAGGGGCTTAGCAGCAATCTACGTATCCTGTCAACCGGCCAGGTACCGACCAATCAGGTGGCCTCAATAGTATCAGTTTACGCAAGGTGGCCTGTGGGTGGCCTGTGGGTGGCCTGTGGGTGGCCTGTGGGTGGCCTTTTCCTCCGTCGGATCCGTCAGGTCGTCCAAGCTCGATGCTCTTCTGATTGGGGCGAGCAGGCGAATTCGTGACGCTCACATCCGCACTTGCTCCTCTTCCTCCCATCATTCCTCCATCATCCCTGCTCATGCCTCCTCTCTCCATCTCTCTCCACCCATCCTCTTCCGCCTCTCTTCAGATTGACCTGGCCGGCAAGCTTGTCTCTTGCGGTCAGGCACATCTCTTCTCCCATTGGCCGGAGCCTGGAAGCAATGATGACGACAAGAGGCGGTTCTTCGCGCAGGTGAGGTGGGAAGGGGAGTTGAGCCCGCAGGCCATGCGCGTGTGCATCCAAGCAGCTCCATGTTGCCGCCATCGTGTCATTGCCCTTCACTTATACCCCCCACGCCTTCATTTCCCCCCCTTCCGTCCGCCCCGTTTCCCCCCGTTCCCCCAACCGCCATCCACTTCCCCCTCCCCATCCCCCAGTTAGCGCGCCTGGACACCAGCTACCCCGGCGGCCTGCCGCGCTACATCGCCAATGCGAGGCAGCTCTTAGCGGAGTCGAGGGACGGAGTCAACCCCTTCGAGGGGTTCACCCCCGCCGTGCCCTCTGGCGAGCGCATTAAGTTCGGCGACCCTTCGTTCGACGAGCTCGAGGCTCGGGGCGTCGAAGAGGCTCGGAATTCGGCGTTTGTGCTGGTGGCGGGAGGCCTGGGGGAGAGGCTCGGGTACAGCGGCATCAAGGTAGGGGAGGGGAGACGATAGGATAGCGTGCATTGGGGCGACCAGTGATCATCAAGAGGTGATTCCGAGTGGGGGCTTCTCCTCGGCCCCTCTGCTCTTGCCCGCCCGTCCGCCTGCCTTCGTCTCTCACACATTCACACGACACACACCCATGCCGCTGTCGGTTACGCCCCCCTTTAAACCTCTCCCAAACCCCCGTGGCAGGTGGCTCTCCCTGCAGAGAGTGCCACGGGTCGCTGCTTCCTGCGGCTCTATATTGACAGCATCCTGGCTGGTCTGCCCTGGCACGCATGCTTCCCCCACGCCCTCTACCTCACTCCCAACATTCAAGCCCCAAACCCTGAACCCCGTGGCAGGTTGCGCTCCCAGCAGAGAGCACCACGGGTCGATGCTTTCTCCAGCTCTACATCGACAGCATCCTGGCGCTGCAACACGCGTCCAATCAGCTCAAGCCAGGTCAGCACTGCACTGCAGCATGTGTCCAAACATCAGAACTGCACCTTTCGTCCCCTAGCATCACGCCTCATTGGCAGCCTGTGCGATATGGCACGCGCGGAGGCCTCCACCACATTTGCCTTCCTCCGCCTTCCTCTGCCTTCCTCCGCCTTCCTCTGCCTTCCTCCCCACTCCTCGCATCTCCCGTCAGACGAGCCTCCCCGACACATCCCCCTGGTGATTATGACGTCGGACGACACGCATGCGCGCACCGAGGCGCTGCTGAGGGAGCACGGCCACTTTGGCATGCGCGCAGACCAGATCACTCTGCTCAAACAGGTTGGCGCTCGTGCAGTGATGCGTGCCGGGGTCTAGAGACATTCTGGGTTCAGGCAGTTTGGAGGAGTCCCTTCCCGTGCCTCACTCCGGTATGACGGGTAAGTTGTTCTATCGCCTGCTGGAAACAGTTGAAACAGCAACGCCGCTGCACGTTTCCCCCCCCCCGTGCGTGGCATGGCATGGCATGGCATGGCAGGAGAAGGTGGCGTGTGTGTCCGACAACGACGCGCACCTCGCGCTTGACCCCAAGGACCCCTACCTCGTCCAGGTGCTTGCGTCCGCTACCTCACCACCTCTCTCACTTCCTTCCTGCTGCATATTTCTGCGTTGGAAGAGTCTATTTTCGAGGCGCCTCAAAAATGGATATCATCTGCCTGTGAAAACCCCCTCTCTCCAATCCTTCCTCACCTCCCTCCGTCTCTCTCCACCTGCTCAAACTGCTCGCCGTTCCCCTGTCTCCTCTCTGGCTTGCCACCCATCGTGCGTGTTGTCGGCAGACCAAGCCGCACGGCCATGGGGACGTGCACATGCTGCTGCACCACAGCGGCCTGCTGCCCATGTGGTAAGCTGGTGGCCTGTTGCCATTCCCCTGCGTGCTGTGCCTTGCTGCCAATACATTGCGTTCTGTCCTCTTCTGCGTGCCTGTTCTGTTCTGTTCTGTTCTGTTCTGTTCTGTTCTGTTCTGTTCTGTTCTGTTCTGTTCCATAAAAGCCCGTGCTCTCAGCGTTACTTTGCTGCGCCCGCTGCTGCTTGTGATGCATGCTCGTGGCACGTGCAGGAGGGCAGCAGGAGTGGAGTGGGTGCTCTTCTTCCAAGACACCAACGGGCTGCTCTTCAAGGTACTGTGCATGCACGCTGCACGCTGCACGCTGCACACGCATGAGGGTACGGGTAGAGTGCGCGTATCAAGGTGCAAGGTCACTGCAGTATGTTTTGAGAGCTTCGAGCCACCCCTCACGCGCCCCTTGCAGGTGGTGCCGTTTCGCTGTGTGTGAGCATCCCAGGGGCCGTGAACGGGACTGCCCAGCCTGTGTTGGCTCAACTCATCCTCCCTCATCCTGTGCTCCGCGCGTTGCCCCGCTGCTGCAGGTGGTGCCGTGCTCGCTGGGCGTGAGCGCGCTGAGAGCCCTGGACGTGAACTCGCTGGCAGTGCCGCGCAAGGCCAAGGAGGCCATCGGGGGGATCGCCAGACTCACACACACAGATGGTGAAGAGGAGGCATGGGCCATGGGGCATTGGGCATTGTGGGGGCATGGGGCATGGGGCATGGGTCATGGGGCATGGGGCATGGGGCATGGGGCATGGGGCATGGGGCATGGGCTATGGAGCACGTTGCTGAAGGCATGCTGGTTGAGTGTTACCATGCTGTATCAGACTACAGCTCTACCGTGCGTGCAAGCATACCCCATACCACACAATACAACGTGCCATGCACCCTTGCAGGGCGCAGCATGGTGGTGATTGTGGAGTGCAACCAGCCCCACCCCTTGCTCAGAACAGGCTGATGAGTTGAATTGGTTTTTCTCGAAATATTGAGAATCCTTGAAGACCATGATGTATGCGTTGGTCTCACTGCATCATCCATGCACCGTGCAACACCCTCCATGCACTATACACCATGCGCGCGCTAACATGCATGCAGGGCGCAGCATGGTGGTGAATGTGGAGTACAACCAGCTCGACCCCTTGCTGAGGGCGTGCGGGCATGATGATGGCGACGCCAATGACCCTCACACCGCCTTCTCACCCTTCCCTGGGAATATCAACCAGGTGAGCCGTGCCATACCATGCTATACCATACCATGCCATGCCAAACTATGCCATGCCATAACATGCCATGCCATGCCATAACATGCCATGCCATGCCATAACATGCCATGCCATGCCATAACATGCCATGCCATGCCATAACATGCCATGCCATGCCTTACCATGCCATACCATGCCATGACATGCCATGCCACGCCGTGCCATGCATGTTGAGCAATCTCTGCACATCTCACCTGGTCACTGGTCCACTGGTCCACAGTGCTTGGTATGCTCGGTATGCTTGCTGGGTATGCTCGGTATGCTTGCTGGGTATGCTCAGTGGTCCACTGGTCCACTGCTCCACTGCTCCACTGCTCCACTGCTCCACTGCTCCACTGCTCCACTGGTCCAATGGTCCACTGGTCCAATGGTCCACTGGTCCAATGGTCCACTGGTCCACCGGTCCACATCTTACCGGATTCGTCAGCCCTCTTGTCTGTACCTCCCTCTCATAGCCGGTTGCAGGCCCTAAGTCTTGGCTCTTCCTTTCTTCTCAATGCTTTGCTCTCGCTCTGCAGCTCGTGCTGCGCCTGGGCCCCTACATAGAGGAACTCGCTAAGACACATGGAGTCATCGGGGAGTTTGTGAACCCCAAGTGAGTCTTGCATCAGGCGAAGAAAGGGATAGCGGGCTCATGGCACGGAGTAGGCAGCGGGCGGAACGGAGTAGCTGCACTGGGAACGCTCCCTGCTGCCCTACAGTGTGCGAATTTTTACTTAATTCGTCACACCCCTTAGCACTGTGGCCCCTCGGCTCCAATTCCACTAATCCCTGCTCTCCCCCACGCCTTCTCTCCCCCTCCTTTTCCTCCCCGTCAGGTATGCGGACAGCACGCGCACGTGCTTCAAGGCGTCCACGCGGCTGGAGTGCATGATGCAGGACTTCCCCAAGGCCATCTCGCCCTCGCGCTCCGTTGGCTTCACGGTCAGCCCGTCAGTCCGAGAGCCTCTCAGCCTGGCCGTCCGCCTGTCTGTCTGTCCGTCCGCCTGTCTGTCTGTCCGTCCGCCTGTCTGTCTGTCCGTCCGCCTGTCTGTCTGTCCGTCCGCCTGTCTGTCTGTCCGTCCGCCTGTCAGTCTGTCCGTCCGCCTGTCTGTCTGTCCGTCCGCCTGTCTGTCTGTCCGTCCGCCTGTCTGTCTGTCCGTCCGCCTGTCAGCCTGTCCGTCCGCCTGTCTGTCTGTCCGTCCGCCAGTCTGTCTGTCCGTCCGCCTGTCTGTCTGTCCGTCCGCCTGTCTGTCTGTCCGTCCACCTGTCTGTCTGTCCGTCCGCCTGTCTGTCTGTCCGTCCGCCTGTCTGTCCGTCCGCCTGTCTGTCTGTCCGTCCGCCTGTCTGTCTGTCCGTCCGCCTGTCTGTCTGTCCGTCCGCCTGTCAGACTGTCCGTCCGCCTGTCTGTCCGTCCGCCTGTCTGTCCGTCGGCCTGTCTGTCTGTCTGTCCGTCCGCCTGTCTGTCTGTCCGTCCGCCTGTCTGTCTGTCCGTCCGCCTGTCTGTCTGTCTGACCTCGTCTTTCCCTTCCCCTTCGGGGTTGTCCACTTGTGGTCCCAATTCTGTTTCACCATGTGCAGATTGCTCTCCAAGTAACCTCCTCCCATTCGCTCATCTGCCTCCTCTCTCTTCACCCTGCCCAACACCCCCCCCCCCCGCCCGCACCCCCCACCCCAACCACCCTTCCCGCCCTCCCAGGAAGCTGATGTGTGGCTTGCCTATTCGCCCGTGAAGAACAACCTCCGGGATGCAGTCGCCAAGGTGGCAGCAGGCACGCCACCTCACAGCGCCACGTCAGCAGAGCTCCACCTGTACCGCGCCAACTGCCTCATCCTCAGACACCTAGGCGTCCACGTGGCGGGCCCTAAAGCAGCTGTGATCGCGGGGCAGGAGGTGGAGATATGGCCACGTGTCGTGTGGTCCCCCCTGTGGGCTCCCACCCTCTCGGCCCTGCGCTCGCGATTCCCCCATCCTGAGAGTGTGCGGATTTCAGAGGACTCCACTCTAGTTGTCGAGGTCGAGGGAGGGTCGGGTGTGGGATGGAGAGAGGGAGAGGAGGCGGAGAGGGAGGCTGAAGAAAGGAGGACAGAAGGCGAGGCAGAAGGGGAGGAGGAGAGGGGGGAGAGGGAGGGGGAAGGGCAGAAGGGTGTAGGTCAGGTGGAGGTGAATGGGTTGCAGCTGGAGGGAGCGCTGTGGGTGAGGGCAGGGAGGGGGGCACGGGTGGTGCTGGATGGGCTCCACGTGGCAAACCGTGGTTGGCCGATCGTTGAAGTGGACAGTGAGGATGCCGGGATCCCTGAGTGGGTGAGAATCCGAGGGTTTGAGATAGAGAGGAGGGAGTGCAGGCGCATGGAGGAGAGCCAAGGGGAGCACGTTGTGAGAGAATGAGGGAGGTAGGACGGGAGCATACGCCATCCCTGCTTGTGGCCGTGTTTCATTCTGTCGAAAGAGATACGCCTCATGCTAGTGAACCAGACGCAGATGACTGCAGCTAGGAAAGACACGCCACGGTCTGCACATGAATACATTACATAGGACTCTAAATACAACAGGATGGTTCCACACTATGCAACCTCTGCAATCAGTCAGATTCAACGGCAAAGATGTCTCCAAAGGGCAGAGGTGGGGAAGAGTCCCTCGACTGCACCGATCCTTCTCCAACGGAACCAACATATCCTGCTGCTCCACTTCCCCCATCTCCCCTTGCACTCACTGCACTGTGCATCCGCAGCACCCCTCTTGCTTGCGCAGCATGCACAGCGTCGGCACTCGGGCTACGCCTCACACTTGCATCACCATGCATGCCACTTGACGAGTCACGCACAGGCGCATACCCGTACACCTCATCCCTGCGCATTCCGCCTTGCATGACCCCATGCACATCGCTCCGCGCTGCCACCTGAACCTCTCCGTGTGCACACCCATATGCTTCCCCATGCATGCCCCCACGCATGTCCCCATGCATGGCAGCATCCATCTGCTCCAGCAGCATGCTGCTATCCATACTGTCAGCATCACCCATACCCATATCCATGCCACCCCCATCACCCATCCCATCTGACGGGCTGCCACTGAAGCTGTGGCAGCGGCTGGGCTGCATCCCGCGGTGCACCACCCACTGCAACCCCGGCCCCGCCGCAGCAGCTGCACCTGGAGACCCCGCCGCACTTCTCTCCTCTATCCCCACCCCTGCTGCCGGTGGGGACAGCGCTGCAGGTGGCTGTATAGAGTGGTGACTCTGAAAGGGTGACTCTAGCGGGGGGACTCCTGCTCTAGTCTGTGAGGCAGCAGGAGAGAGTGGTGAAGCGCAGGAGGGGAGGGTGGCAGGAAAGGGCGGAGAGGACGCAGTGGCAGGGGCAGGGAGCGGGGAGGCGGAGAGGGCAGGGTGGGGGTGGGTGCGAAGGTGGGGGGTTGTGACGGGTGAGTAGCACGGGAGAGGGTTGTCGATGCGTCGTTCGGAGAATGAGGAGGCAAGGTTGGCCCGGAATGAGGGGGATGGGGGGGGCGAAGATGGATGATGGAGCGGAGTGGAAGCAATAGGCGCAACTGCTGCTGCTGCTGCTGCTGCTGCTGCTGCTGCTGCTGCTGCTGCTGCTGCCGCTGGGGTGGTTACAGCTTCTGATGAGGGTGCAAGGGATAGGGGAAGCTGGGTTTGGTGTTGTTGCTGCTGCTGCTGCTGGTGCAACTGTTGTTGCTGGTGCTGCTGCTCTAGAGAAAGCGACACTAGGAATTGCTGGGCTGAAGCATGGGGCTGCCAGGAGGGGTAGTTGGAGCAGAAGCTGAAGGGTTGGAGGGAGGGAGAGGGAGGCAGCAAGCCATGCAGGGGAGAGGGAAAGCACAGAAGATGGCAGGGTGGGGAGAGAGAAGGGAAACGACAGGAGAGTATGAGAGAGCCCTAATGAAGAAACATGATGCGTCCAGACTAGGCGAGTCTACTAGGAAGCAGGATATCACCCCCCACAAGTGCACACCCACCCACCCATATACAGGCAGCACTAACCCACCTGATAAACGACTGCTCCATCTTGCCACGATCACTGAACTCCCCTGCCATGGCACCACCATCATCATCATGCCACCCTCCTGGGACATGATCCATCGCACCATCCCCAGCTAGCCGTGGTCCCTGGCCTCCCTGCCATGTGCCATCCGCACCTTCCTCTCCGCCCTCCATGCCAACAGCTATGTCCGGCCCTGTCCCTCTGCACACTCCTACTCTCCGCCAATCAGCATGCCTACTCTGTCCCGCTCGCATGCTCGAGAGGCACTGAGCAGCTGCCTCGCTAGTGTCACTCCCCATATTGCCACTGTTGGCATTGTTGGCCTTGGAGCTCTCATTCCCAGCACCCCCCTTCTTGCTGCTCCCCTTCCTGCTGCTGCCATGGCGGTTCGAGTCGAAGTCAAAGGTGCTGTGGCTGCACACGTGGCCCAGCCCCTCCTGGTACGAGGACGCGTCTCGAAGGAAGGAAAGAATGGCGGACGCCCTCTGAAAAAAGGCGAGGGAGACGGGGAGAGGAGCGTTGGTGGAGAGGGCAGAAGGGGGGTAACATCACAAAGAGAAGAAAGGAGCGCAGCTGGAGAACCAAGGAGAGCACAAAAGCAGGGAAGAGGAGTATGTGGGGAGGGCGGGAGAGGAAGAGAGAGGGAGGGGGGAGGCAGTACCTGGGGAAGGATGAACCAGAGGATAAACGGGGTGATGAAGATGGACAGTGCGTCTGTGAGGAACAGAAGAGGCTTCAGCTGCACGCACGCGCACACGGGGGGGGGGGGGGGGAGAAGAGGGTGTATAACAGAGCATGACACAATAATGGGTGAGATAGCAGCGGGTTTTGGGAGCGGAGGGAAGGTTGGCGCAAGAAGAATTGTACCGCACGCCCGCCATTTTCCCGCTGCACACACCTAAACCCTTCTGCCCTGCTCACCGGGGCGAGCAATGAGGCACGTCAGACACCCACCTGGAAGAGCGTTTGAAACTCGTTTCTGACTCGCCGGCTGTGCGCCTTCCTCCGCCACCTCGCTGGCAGGAAGTGCGTGTGCTCTGCCGTTCTCATCAACGCCCCCTTGGGGTCCACACTCCCTGCAGGCCGGTCTGCCTGCGCCAGAGGGCGGGTTGCTGCTAGGATTGCCCCGAAGATGGCTGCGTACCACACGAGGCCGCGACCGAAGAGCTGTGAGGGGTGGGCAGCACGCGAGACAAACGGGGTTGGGGGGCGGGGAGAGTGGGGTGGGGAGTTGCCGCCTGCAAGAAAGCCTTCCAAGGAAGAGCAGCAGAGCCTCACCTGAGCCTCACCTGAGCCTCACCTGAGCCTCACCTGAGCCTCACCTGAGCCTCACCTGAGCCTCACCTGAGCCTCACCTGAGCCTCTAAGAGCTTCTCATCCGCTAGAGCAAGCGCGAGCAGCAGAGCAGCGAAGGAGCCGGCAATGAAGGAGAGCAGCTTGGCGGACAGGGCGAGCAGCGGCGACGGGAACTGCGCCAGGTACGCGTCCGCCAGCGGGCACGCTGCGTCCAGACGCTGGGATGTCAGATGCTCCACCTGGGGGGGGGGAGGGTGGGGGGGGGTGGGAGCAAGCACCAAGGGAGAGCGGACAGGGAGAACAGTGGCGAGGGGGCTGAGCAAGGACGGGGGGACATGGTGCAGCCAGGGGAGATGGTGCAGCCAGGGGGCATGGTGCAGCCAGGGGGCATGGTGCAGCCAGGGGGCATGATGCAGCCAGGGGGCATGGTGCAGCCAGGGGGCATGGTGTAGCCAGGGGGCATGGTGCAGGCAGCTGTTGGGATTTAGACGCTCCGCCTGACGATGGGCGAAGCGAGCAAGACAAATAGACAGGCGTTCATGAGACCTACACGTGGTAAGAGTAGACGATCTAGCATAGGGCGGCATGCCCTCGGGCAGGATCTCCTCGGGCGGCAATGCCCTCGGGCGGCATGCCCTCGAACGGCATCCCCTCGGGCAACATCCCCTTGGGAGGCTTGCCCTCGGGCGGCATGTCCTCAAGCGGCATGCATTCGGGTGGCATGCCCTCGAGTGGCATGCTTTCGGGCGGCTTGCCCTCGAGCGGCATGCCCTCGGGCGGCTTGCCCTCAAACGGCATGCCCCTCAGGCGGCATCCCCTAGGATGGCATGCCCTCGGGCGGCTTGCCCTCGGGCGGCATCCCCTCGGGTAACATGCCCTCGGCCGGCTTGCCCTCGGGCGGCATGCCCTCGGGGGGCATGCTTTCGGGCAGCTTGCTCTTGGCCCGCTTGCCCTCGGGCCATTTGCCCTCGCGCGGCATGCTCTCTGGCGTCTTGCCATCGGGCGGCATGCCCTCCGGCGTCGAGCGTCATGCCCTCGGGCGGCTTGCCCTCGGGCGGCATCCCCTCAGGCGGCATCCCCTCGGGCGGCATCCCCTCGGGCAGCATGCTTTTGGGCGGCTTGCCCTCGGGCGGCATGCCCTCAAGCTGCATGCTCTCGGGCGGCTTGCTCTCGGGCGGCTTGCCCTTGGGCGGATGGGCTGGAAGCCAGCACGGCGCTCATTGCAAGCCAGTCCGTCATACCTCGTTGTACTCTTTGAACATCCAGCTGGCGAGGTTGGACCAGGAGCGCACCCCTGCTGCAGCGGGGTCGTGGTAGAGGTGGTGGGCCTTGCGGAGGAGGAAGAAGGAGAGCAGGAAGAGCAGCAGGAACGGCGACAGCAGCAGCACCACCCAGCCCGACACAATGAAGCGCTGCCGCAGCGCTGCTGGGTCGTTCAAGAACTGCTTCTGCAGGCGGCCGTTGGTGTCCAGCAGCGGGTGCAGCACACACCACCGCAGCACCCACTCCAGCGTCTTACTCAGCACCGTCACCCGCACACATGGCCCTCCGCCTCCTTCCCCTTCCCCCCTTCCCCGCCCTCCCTTGCGCGCCCCCCCCTCCTGCACCACGTGGAATGACAGCAGCGGACCCAAGGAGGTCAACACCACAGCAGCCAACGCACTACCCCCAGATGCACCTCCCCCAGCAGGCACCCGCACAGTGAGCAGGTGCATGTTGACCAGCGCCACCAGGTAGTTGTCCCTCCGCGTGATCCGCGCCGCCACCTCGTACGCCGACACTCCTGCCGCCCGCCCTCTGCCTCCCGCCACCTTACCTGCCCCTCCTCCTCCCCCCCTTTCTTGCACCATTTCCCCCCCTGGAATCCCTTCCCCGCCTGCCGTTCCTGATGCCAAACAGTCTGCCCCAACTAGTCCCCTCCCATGCCCCTCCTCCTCCACCCCCTGCTCCCCACTCTGCTCCCCCTCGTCCTCGCTGGAATCTCCCTCCCCAGCACCGCACCCCTCTCCTCCGCCACCTACACTCTCTCCTCCCCTCACCCCTCCCCCCCCCTTCTCCTCGCCATTCCACGCGCGCACCAGCCGCGCCACCACGGCATCCCACGGCGTCATGAGCAGCTGGTGGTCGGACAGGCGCAGTCTCTGGTGGTACAGGGCGCGGGTTTCGAGCAGCGCGGGCAGGCGCACGAAGAAGTGCGCGAAGCACACGAGCCAGTACAGGCACAGCAGGGCCAGGTACACCGCTACAGTCACCTCCCACACAGTCACACGGCGGAACACGTCCCTCCTTATGACGTGCTTCAGCACGTCGCACGCGCCCTCCGCCGCCCCCTCTGCGTCATGCACTGCCGCCCCCTCTGGTGGTCTTTCGTCCATTATTCTCTCCTCCATAAGTTTCCTTCGCCCCTCCCCGGGTATCCAGTTATCATGCGGCGCGCTTTCTTGGCTTCTGAGCTCATCCTCGCCGCTATTTACAGCACTATTGACACTTCTATGTACAGGACTATTTACAGCCTTGTCGGATTCACTGCTGCTCATCCCCCCTATCGTGCCCGGCACCCCTCGCTCCCCTCGTTGCTGGTAAGAGTCCCCGCCGCTCCGCCCCCTCTCTCCCTGCATTTCCGCCAGCGTTCTTACAACGGGGTGTTCACCTGCCCCCCCTGTAGCGAAGCCACTGCTGGCAGCAGCCGCGGGAGTGGCGGAAATAGCAGCGGCTGCGGCGGCGGCGGAGGCGGCGGAGCAGTTGAGGGCGAGCAGCGCGCGCCAGTCGATAAGAAGCAGGAGCAGCGCAGAGAAGACGATGGTGAACGCCAGGCTCGCCAGGTGCACCACCCACTGCGACAGGGGGGGGGATGAAGGGGCAACGAAGGGGTAGATAGCGGAATGGCGGAAGGGCAGGAGAATAGGAAAGAGAGAAGGAAACGAGACGAGGGAGACAAGCAACGGGCGCCATAGACGCAGTGACTCACGCTGGAGACGATGCACGTGAACCCTCGCCCGCAGTAATACTCGTACACGCCTCGCATAAACCCATCCACGTCGCCCACTCTTCGCCAGTCTTCGCCAACTGCTTCCCTCGCTCCCTCCTCCGTCAGGTCCGGGGGGCCAAGCTGCATATCAAGCTCGGCCACGCCGAACCTGCTGTTCAGGTTCGGATGTACGTCAATCTCAGCAGCTCTGAGCCTGTCGTGCAGGTTCGGGAACTGGGCACGGCTTTCTGGCGTTGGAAGCGTACAGGCTTGGCCCTGCTGCTCCGGAGTATCACGAAATTCGTGAAACTCGCTATAGTCATGGAACTCGTTAGAGTCACGATTTCTACGAAACCCTAAATGCGTAGGCGAGCGACGGCGTACGTCCCTGGTCGAGCCACGACTAGAACTTAGCGGCTCCGGTGGATCCTCTATTTCCAGCGGCACGTACGCGACGCCGCGTAGCGCCTCCTGATCGGCGTCGTATGCCATGAAGCTTCCGCGAAGGGCCTGCCGGTCGAGCGAATAGGACGAATAAGGGAGTCCCCCGGGAAACGCCAGCGCTAGGGAAACCTAAACCTAAACCTAATCATGGATGAACGAGCTTGTAAGTTTGGGGATCCACTAAAAAGTCCATAACAATATATGAAAGAATGAAACGGGCCGCGATAAAGAGGTGAGACGTCGCAGAGCCGCAAAGAGCCTGGATAACCAACGTTGGTTCGCCGTAATGCTAGGCCGTGGGTGCAATCCAGTGTCTCGCTGTGGCTTGCTCTCGGCTTCGACTAGTAGCGAGTTTGAAGACAAGGAGTATGATGATGATCGGTGGACCTTCCTGTATGATGTGTTCCTACTGACAATCGGCTTGTAGCGCGTATGCGTTACCTTGGAAACTCCATAACCGGCTCCCGGCCAAAGAAAAACGCGTGGTGCGGAGAAATCGTTAAATACAAATGTATATTGATAGTCGGTTAAATACAATTTATAACACAAATTGATGTTTGTTTGGCATCACTGAGGATTCTTCGAGGTCGTCATTGTATAGAGGTTGGCCCCAAACATATCATGGAAGTTGACTGTGAAGGATTGGGGCGTTACTTTTGCAGAGACGAAGCCTTGTCGGGAGTGATAAAACATGGAGTTGTTGTCTCCGGTTATTGTGCGATTCCGATCCACCTTGGAGCCACCTCCACTCGTGACAAAAAACATGCTACTGCATGCACCCAGCAAAGGGAGCAGGGGGGGTCAAGATGGAGGCACAATAAAATGAGCAACCTCGTGAGAGACCATTTGTTTGCATCACTCATCATCCCTTGACAAGTCACACATCGCACCTGTTGGTGTCCTTATAAAGCTCCAGGTTGTGGTCATGGCCGTTCATGTAGAAGTCCACGTTGTACCTCTGCACCCACGCACACCGAGCAGGGAGGGGGGCATGGAGAAAATAACGGAAAGAACAGAAGATCATGCGAGTGCTCTCCTTGAACCAAGGTGAGTGACATCGCAGAGGGACCCCACGTGCAGTCCTGTACCATCCCCGTGCACTCTCCTCCCAGGGCTAAGCAACACCAAAGAATACTTCATTAACTAGAGCATTGGAAACGGGCTGTCAGCACAGAAGCAAAGAGGTGCATGCTTCAAGCAGTCAGGATGGAGAAGGGAGACACGAGAGGGGAGAAGGAGGCACCTTGAGCAGGGGGTAGAGGAACAGAGGGGAGAAGGAGGCACCTTGAGCAGGGGGTAGAGGAACAGAGGGGAGAAGGAGGCACCTTGAGCAGGGGGTAGAGGAACAGAGGGGAGAAGGAGGCACCTTGAGCAGGGGGTAGAGGAACTTTAACAGCTCTGGCGTGTTGCCGTGGCTGCCGGTGCTGTGGATGGGATGGTGGCCAATCACCACCTTCCACGTGGCAGTTGATGATGCCAGTGCTGCTCGCAGCAGCTGAGGGTGGGTGGAGAAGATCGGGGGGAAGGAGTGAGAATCTTGAGTGAGGCAGCGGGGATGAGTACGCAGCAACAAGGCGCTGGGATGAGGCACAGATAAGGAGGAGTATGGACAAGAGGACCACGGGAGGAGCAGAAGAGCAATGAGCATAGGAGGTGAGGGAAGGGGGAGTTGGGGGGCAGGGGGGGAGGGGGGAAATGGGAGCGGGCGGGCAGAGGGCGAGCAGATAGTAAGTGATGGGAGGGAAGGTGCTGAGAGGCACAGTGAGCTGGTGGTGCAGCGTGAGGGAAGCGTCAGGGAGGCCCGTGAAACTGAGGGAGGTGTGAGGGAGGTGTGAGGGAGGTGTGAGGGAGGTGTGAGGGAGGTGTGAGGGAGGTGTGAGGGAGGTGTGAGGGAGGTGTGAGCCAAGGGTAGCACCGTGAGCTGGTAGTGCAGAGTGAGGGAGGCGTCCGGAAGGCCCGTGAAGTTGAGCTTCTCGAACTCGTGCTCTTTGCCGCGCCAGTACCCCGCCACCAGGGGGGACGTGTCGATGAAAAACAGCTGCAGCACCGGGTTGCACACGGCTGGGAGGGGGCACATAGGGAGGAGCGATGGGAAGGCCGATATGTAACGAGAGAGTGGCCGAGCTTCTTGCCATGCCAGTAAGTGACGACCAGGGGGGACGTGTCGATGAAGAACAGCTGCAGCACCGGGTTGCACACCGCTTGGGGGGGCACACAGGACCGAGAGAAGGGAGGGAAGTTGCGGAAGACACGGCTTACAGTGCAGGAACTTGGGGCAGGAGTCGCGCACCACAGTGTAGCTTCTCTCACAGCGCCAGCGCGGGTCCCTCTGCCGCAGCGCCGGGTCCGTCTCCGCGTCGGGGTTGCGGTGGTAGTCGTGGTTGCCCAGCACTGTCATGGCGAGAGGAGAAGAGGAAGGGGGGTTGAGGGGGGGGTGGGGGGGGGGAGAGAATAAGACATGGAAGGAAGGGGTTGCAGTAACAGTGATGATTGCACAGCACCACTGCCATGGGCCAACATAACACAAGCCAACGCAGCAGGATTCTTACAGCCACATACGTGCATACCACGGCCTTACAGCCACTCGCATACCACTGCGTGTGCAGGCTGCGCGCCTGGTATATCTCGTAGAAGGAGGAGGAGAAGGTGGAACAGCGGTAATAATAACTCACCTTTTATAGTCACACCAAAACGATCACTCACCCGCATACCACTGCGTTTGCAGGCTGGGCGCCTGGTAGATCTCGGTGAAGGAGGAGGCGAAGGCGGGGTCAGCCGTATCCTGCAGCCCGTCGTCGTAGAAGTTGTCCCCCGTCGACACCACGAAGCTGCTGTCCACCGCTGCTGCTACCTCGCCCATCTGAAAGGAATCGAGAGTGTGCGTTGATAGAAGAGGCAGACAGGAGTCACAACCAGCCGTGTCCTGCAGCCCGTCGTCATGGAAGTTGTCCCCGTCGACATGACAAAGCTGCTGTTTATGGCCGCTGCTTCCGCGCCCATTTGATAGGAAGAGAGAGGAGGGTGCACGAGAAGAGGGAAGGGTAGAAGCGTCAAGGCTGCAGCCAGTCCTCAAGAAGACTACGAAACGTGCTGTAACAAGACGCTCTCATTTTCATACGTCCCATCACGCACTTGGCTCGCCCTTGGTGTAGCGCTCTCTTTTTTCATACGTCCCATCACGCACTTGGCTCGCCCTTGGTGTAGCGCTCTCTTTTTTCATACGTCCCATCACGCACTTGGCTCGCCCTTGGTATAGCGTTCTATCTCTTCGCCTCCTCGCATCACCTACCGATTCCGCCACTATGGATTGGTTGTAGTCGCCGTTCCTCCCCCAGTCCCCCACCACCAGGAACGCCACTTGCGCCTGCGCATCCGCCAGCGCGTCGGGGGGGGCGTTGGCGGAGATGAAGCGGAGGGAGGCGGAGGGGAAGAGTAGCGAGAGCAGCGCGCTGATTGCGAGCCCCAGCCCGCAGCCGAGCAGCAAGAGAGCCGTGGCGGCGACGTAGGAGCAGAGGGGCCCGCGGGGGGGGGAGGACTGTGGGGGAGAGATGGGGAGGGGGACATTAACACGCATGACGCGAGATGGGAGCAGAGGGACCTGCGGTGGAGGGACGGCTCGGAGAAACGAATGCGGAACGCGAGAAACGAGAGATGCAGTCATGGAGGCACGTCGCCGTCCAAAGACGCGGATGCTCGACGTACCTGGCCCGATCGCAGCCCTAGCGTCTCATCCTCCGTCTCAAACTCGTCTGCGCAGGAATCAATCAGGATACCGAAATGAAAAGGTTGAGATCTATCAGGACAGGAATGGCTGATTGAGATGGACCAGGACGGGAATGAATGGTTGAGATCCATCAGGATGGGAATGTAAAAGAGTACAAGGGTTTCCTCGGAAGTCGCGAATGTAACGGGAACGGACGCTATAACCTTTCCGGTGCAACGCGAGCAGGTTTTTTAGCCTACAGCGTGTGTTTGATCAACTGTCGCGAGAAAACTAGCGTCGTTCTCGGAAAAAGGTGCCTAGCTAGCATAACTCCGGAAGAAAACTTGAATACCTACCTCGCGTGGGAGGCATTCTGACAAGGCTCATGGCTGAATGTGCCTGCTTCCAGCGCGGCCAGCCCAGCAAGGCAGGCCGTCACCGTCTGCTATCTGGTCCAAGGTCAGGAGCTAGGCAGACAGATGAGCCTTGCGAATCTATTCCCGAGGGCGAAAGGCGAAATCTGTTCATGAGAGCCAACAGGACAGAGAAAAGGAACCCGATGGTCGGTGGGGTGGGGAGGTGTGTTCTTGAAAAGGAAAGCACACCCTGCGGCAGCGTTCAGTTGGGTGTTCAGCTAATAATTACTTAACGGGTTACTTGATTCGCAAGTTTGTTGTGATAAATAGCTGCCTCTGATTGGGTGCGAGGTGGGGAAAAAATCTCGCATGATAATTAAGTTGCAAAACGACCTCTAGACCCCCACCCAAGTCAGGAACAAAACTGCAACCACGACGGGGATCGAACCCGCGACCTTTGGATCCGAAGTCCAACGCGCTAATCCACTGCGCTACGCGGCTTCGAAGTATTTCGAAGTCGTTTAACTACTAAAATTATTTTTATTTCGTAGTTTCTAGTTTCTCCACTTTTCACTGAAGACCCTTCATTTTCCTGTTTCTCTCATGTCCATCGTAGTCCGCGCTAGCCATGTATCTCTATAACCTCACGCTACAGCGGGCGACGGGTATCAGCCACGTCATATTCGGCAACTTCTCAGGGACTAAGGAGCAGGAAATAGTAGTCGCGAGAGGGAAGATCCTCGAGCTGTTGCGACCAGATGCCGCGGGAAAGCTGCAGAGCCTGTACGCGGTAGAAGTCTTCGGCGAGATTCGCTCGCTCGTCCAGTTTCGCCTCACCGGCTCGTCTAAAGACCTCATTGTCGTGGGATCCGATTCTGGACGAATCGTTATTCTTGAGTATAACCGAGAGAAGAATCTCTTTGATAAAATTCACCAGGAGACCTATGGCAAGACCGGATGTCGCCGGATCGTCCCTGGCCAATTCCTGGCCGTCGATCCGAAAGGACGAGCGGTCATGATCGCAGCGTGCGAGAAGCAGAAATTCGTGTACGTTCTGAACCGCGACAGCTCGGCGCGCCTCACGATCTCATCCCCGTTAGAAGCCCACAAGTCGCAAACCCTAGTCTTCTCGGTAGTCGGCGTGGACTGCGGGTTCGACAACCCCATTTTTGCCGCCATAGAGCTCGACTACGCGGACGCGGATCAGGACCCTTCGGGGCAGGCGGCGGCGGACGCGCAGAAGCAGCTCACCTTCTACGAGCTCGATCTGGGCCTCAACCACGTGGTGCGCAAATGGGCCGAGCCCGTCGACAACGGCGCGAATCTCCTCGTCGCCGTCCCCGGCGGAGCGGACGGGCCGTCGGGCGTTTTAGTCTGCGCGGAGAATTTCGTGATTTACAAGAACCAGGGCCACCCAGACGTGCGCGCCGTCATTCCCCGCCGCGCCGACCTCCCCGCGGAGCGCGGCGTTTTGGTGGTCGCGGCGGCGACGCACAAGCAGAAGTCGATGTACTTCTTCCTGCTGCAGACGGAGTACGGGGACGTCTTTCGGGTGACCCTAGAGCACGACCCTAAAGACACGGACCGCGTGACGGAGCTGAAGATTAAGTACTTTGACACGATTCCCGTGGCGGCGGGGCTGTGCGTGCTGCGCGCGGGGTTCCTGTTCGCGGCGTCGGAGTTCGGCAACCACGCGCTGTACCGCTTCCAGGGGATCGGCGACGACGAGGAGGTGGAGTCGAGCTCCGCCACCCTCATGGAGACGGAGGAGGGCTTTCAGCCCGTGTTTTTTCACCCGCGCCGCCTCAAGAACCTCGTTCAGGTACTCGCGAGTGACCCCTGGTTCTGGCTCTGTCGTTCCCTGCCCTCCTGTCGCCCTCTCATCCTCTCTTCCTCCCCCCCTCTCTCCCCTCGCCCCTCCCTTCCTCTCCCCCCACCTCCCCCCAACTCCCCCCATCTCCCTGCAGATTGACGAGGTGGAGTCCCTAATGCCCGTGCTCGACCTCAAGGTCTCCAATCTCTTCGACGAGGAGACCCCCCAGATCTTCGCGCTCTGCGGCCGCGGCCCGCGCTCCTCCCTGCGCATCCTGCGCCCGGGCTTAGCCGTCACCGAGATGGCGGTAACGCAGTTACCAGGCGTGCCGAGCGCCGTGTGGACGGTGCGCAAGAGCGCGCAGGACGAGTTCGACGCGTACATCGTGGTGTCGTTCGTGAATGCGACCCTCGTGCTGAGCATTGGAGATACCGTGGAGGAAGTGAGCGACAGCGGGTTCCTGGACACGACCCCCTCGCTGGCTGTGTCGCTGCTGGGGGAGGACTCGCTCATGCAGGCAAGTTTGGCTGGGCTGTTGTGGTGTTTGACTTTCGGGGCGGCTTCATTCACTCGCAGATGCAGGCAGGTCGCATGTGCACTCTGTTTGGGCCTCTATGTCTGCTTGTGCATGTGTGCATGCCTGTCTGTGCATTTGTGCATGTGCGCATGTCTCTAACGTGTGCATGGCTGCATGCGTCCATCTATGCGCGCCCCACGGCAGGTGCATCCGAGTGGCATTCGCCACATAAGGGCGGACGGCCGCATCAACGAGTGGAAGACGCCCGGCAAGAAGAGCATCGTCAAAGTCGGCTGCAACCGCTTCCAGGTGAGCTGAGTCCCGCCATTTTCAGTTGAGATTGGTGCCTGCCATGCCAACACTTCCTGGTGAAATGAGTCGATTTTTGAGTCGACTCATGGCTTGGATCCTCATTTTCAGTTGAGCTGGGTGCCTGCCATGCCAACGCTTCCTGGTGAGTACATGGCTTGCTCTGTTCATTCCTGCTCCTTGCCCTTTCTCCTTCCCACCTACGCCTACCTACGCCCCTCCTCCCACCTCCCCCAGGTGGTGATCGCCCTGTCAGGCGGCGAGCTGGTGCACTTTGAGATGGACGTGCGCGGGCAGATGGTGGAGATGGGCAAGAAGGACATGCCGGGGGACGTGGCGTGCCTCGACGTCGCGCCCATCCCCGAGGGCAGGCAGCGCGCGCGCTTCCTCGCCGTGGGGTCGTACGACTCCACTGTGCGCATTCTCTCGCTCGACCCCGATGAAAACATGCAGGTGGGTATGAAGCAGGCAGGAGGGGGGCGAGGAGGAGGTTTGGAGGACAGGTTTTCGGGCTTCGGGTTTCGGGTCGTATGACTCCGGTGCATGACTCCACACACTCTGTTGCTTGACCTTGGTGAGAACATGCACGTGCCAAGGGTGCAGGTTCTCGGCCATGTCGTCACTCCCAACCCTGCGGTCTTTCCCCTGTCATCTTCCGTTCTCCCTCTCCCCATCTCCCTGCATCCATCGCTCTCTCCACCAGGTACTCAGCGTGCAGCCTGTATCAGCGCCACCAGAGTCCCTTCTCATTCCCCAGGCTCCCGCCTTGCATCTCCCTCCTCAATCCCCTTCCCCCCACCTCCGTCCCCCCATCCCCCTCTCTCACCAGGTACTGAGCGTGCAGGCAGTATCAGCTCCACCCGAGTCCCTTCTCTTCCTCGACGTCCCCACCGGTCCCGGCACAGATGGCCCTTCCACCACCACCGCTGCCTCCTCCTCCTCATCTGCCGCCCATGCGCCCTCCAGCCTCTTCCTCAACGCCGGTCTGCAGAACGGCGTTTTGCTTCGCACGGAGGTCGACAAGAACTCCGGGCAGCTCTCTGATTCGCGCACGCGCTTCCTCGGGCTGCGTGCGCCGAAACTTTTCGGTGCCCAGCTGAGGGAACGACGTGCCATGCTGTGTCTTTCCAGCCGCCCGTGGCTGGGGTATTCGCTTCTGGGCAGCTTCCACCTGACTCCTTTATCCTATGAGGCACTAGAGTACGCTGCTCCCTTTGCGTCTGACCAGTGTCCCGAGGGTATTGTGGCGGTGGCGGGGGAAACACTGCGTGTGTTCACCGTAGAGCGGCTTGGCGAGGTGTTCAACCAGACGGTCATTCCGCTGCGGTACACCCCGCGGAAAGCTGTGCTGCATCCGCGTTATAAGAACATTGTGACGATCGAGAGCGACCAGGGCGCGTTTTCGGCGGAAGAGAGGGAGGAGCTGAGGAAGGAAGCGATAGAAGTGACGGGGGCCGTGGAGAGAATGGAGGAGGAGCGGCGGGAGAGGAAGGCGGCGGCACGAGCAGCGAGAGGAAGCAGAGGGGAGGACGGGGAGGAGGGGATGGAGGAGGATGAGGAGGAAGAAGAGGAGGAGGAGGATGAAAAGGCCAAGGACCCGCTGCCGGACGAGCAATTCGGGTACCCGAAAACGGTCCCATCGAAGTGGGCGTCTTGCATTCGGGTGATCAGCCCCAAGGCAGGCGAGACGACGTGTCTACTGGAGCTCACCGACAGCGAAGCAGCCTTCTCCCTCTGCACTGTGAACTTCCACGCGGATAAAACCGAGGGCGGGGCAGCAGCAGGGCAGTACCTAGTCGTCGGCACGGCGAAATCCCTCCAGTTCTGGCCTAAGAGGAACGTTCTAGGAGGGTTCCTGCATGTGTATAAGTTTAAAGGGGAGGAGGGGAGAGAGCTGGAGCTGGTGCACAAGACGGCGGTGGAGGGGGGCGTGCCGACGGCGCTGTGTGCCTTCCACGGGCGGCTGCTGGTGGGCGTGGGGAATGTGCTCCGAATCTATGACCTTGGGAAGAAGAAGCTTCTGAGAAAGTGCGAGAACAAGCAGTTCCCGCACGCGATCGTGAGCATCCATGCGTACGGCGACCGCATCTATGTGGGGGACGTGCAGGAGGTGAGGGAAGCATGAAAGGCGTTGAGTGATAAAGAGTCGCGGATGATGAGTGACGGATGATGAGTGACGGATGATGAGTGACGGATGATGAGTGTCGGATGATGAGTGACGGATGATGAGTGACGGATGATGAGTGTCGGATAGTGTGTGATATCGAGCAGGTGAGCGATGGATCGTGAGTATCCATGCATCGGGCGACCGCATCTACATGGGCGACGTGCAGGAGGTTAGGGAAGCTAGCAATGGTGATGTTCAGGAGATGGGTGGTACTAAGGAGATGGGTGGTACTAAGGACATGGGTGGTACTAAGGAGGTGGGTGGTACTAAGGAGATGGGTGGTACTAAGGAGATGCTTGAGTGCAACCTTTCCCACTCCCATCCGCCCTTTCTCCCCGTTCTCCCCCCCCAGTCCTTCCACTACGTGCAGCACAGCAAGCAGGAAAACCAGCTAGGGCGTTTTTGAACCTGCTGACTAGAGCTTAAATGTATTCTCTCTCCACCATATCCTCTCGCCCCTCAAACCCCCCCCCCCCCCCCCTCCCCAGTCCTTCCACTACGTGCAGCACAGCAAGCAGGAGAACCAGCTCTACGTCTTTGCGGACGACATCACGCCGCGCTGGCTGACGGCCGCCATGCGCATCGACTTTGACACCATGGCGGGCGGGGACAAGTTCGGCAACGTGTACTTTGTGCGGCTGCCGGGGGAGATCTCAGAGGAGATTGAGGAGGACCAGACAGGGGGGAGGGTGAAGTGGGATGCGGCAGGAGGCGGGAGGTTGAACGGTGCTCCCAACAAGCTCGAGCAGGTATGGTATGGTCCTGTGTTGTGGTGAGTGCGTGCTGGGGGGGGGAGATCTCAGAGGAGATTCCCAACAAGCTCGAGCAGGTATGGCATGGCCGTCTGTTAAGCAGGTAGGGCATGGCTATGTGCTGTGTTGAGTGCATGCATCTGGTTGAGATGGGGGAGGGACGAGGACCAGACGGGGAAGAGAGTCAAGTGGGACGTGGGGGGAGGAGGCCGGCTGAATGGTGCTCCCAACAAGCTGGAACAGGTAAGGTGTAGCTGGTGGGTTGTATCAGGCGAATGGTCCACCATGCTGACGTTGTGTCATGCTATTAGGTGGCTTGGTGCCTCCATTCCAACCAACCTCCCACCTCCACCCCTGCTATCCCTGCACTGCTCTCCCCACCCCTGCTATCCCTGCGCTGCTCTCCCCACCCCTGCTATCCCTGCACTGCTCTCCCCACCCCTGCTATCCCTGCGCTGCTCTCCCCACCCCTGCTATCCCTGCACTGCTCTCCCCACCCCTGCTATCCCTGCACTGCTCTCCCCACCCCTGCTATCCCTGCGCTGCTCTCCCCACCCCTGCTATCCCTGCACTGCTCTCCCCACCCCTGCTATCCCTGCGCTGCTCTCCCCACCCCTGCTATCCCTGCACTGCTCTCCCCACCCCTGCTATCCCTGCGCTGCTCTCCCCACCCCTGCTATCCCTGCGCTGCTCTCCCCACCCCTGCTATCCCTGCGCTGCTCTCCCCACCCCTGCTATCCCTGCGCTGCTCTCCCCACCCCTGCTATCCCTGCGCTGCTCTCCCCACCCCTGCTATCCCTGCGCCGCTCTCCCCACCCCTGCTATCCCTGCGCTGCTCTCCCCACCCCTGCTATCCCTGCACTGCTCTCCCCACCCCTGCTATCCCTGCGCTGCTCTCCCCACCCCTGCTATCCCTGCACTGCTCTCCCCACCCCTGCTATCCCTGCACCGCTCTCCCCACCCCTTCAATCCGCCTGCAGGTGATTCAGTTTCACGTGGGCGACATTGTCACGGCCATGCAAAAGACGTCACTCATTCCAGGTAAATGCAATGCGACTGTGGTTTCCCATGGCTCCCTCGTTTGCCATCATTGTACTCATCTGTATGCCGCCGGCCTCACATGCACTCTTTGAACCATGCGGCCTCGCTGCCCTTCTCTCCGTATGCTTCTTTCCCCCATCGTGCCTGCGCACGGGGGAAGTCCCTGCCCACCCCACCGCCCATAACCGCCGTCACCACCCGTCACCACTCGTCGCCACCCGTCACCGGCTGTCACCGACTGTCACCGCCCGACACCGCCCGTCACCCCCCCTCACCGCCCCTCACCGCCCCTCACCGCCCCTCACTGACCTCACCGCCCGTCATCGCCCCTCACTGACCTCACCGCCCGCCACCGCCCCTCACCGGCCACCACCCACTGTCTACTGTCCTCCGTTTTCTGTTGCTTCATCCCCAGGCGGCAGTGAGTGTGTGATCCACAGCACCACTCTGGGAGGCTATGACTGTATGTGCCCCCCTTCTCCTTCCACCCTGCTTTCCCCTCTCCCTCTGCCTCTCCCTCTGCCTCTCCCTCTCTCCCCCAGGCGGCAGCGAGTGTGTAATCTACAGCACCATGCTGGGGGCAGTGGGGGCGCTGCTGCCCTTCGTCTCCCGGGAGGACGTGGACTTCTTCTCGCACCTCGAGATGCACCTGCGCCAGGAGCACCCTCCCCTGGCCGGCCGGGAGCACGTGAGCTACAGATCCGCCTACTTCCCTGTCAAGGTGAGCCTTGGGCCCTGGCGTTTCTGCCACTCAGTGCTTGGCTGCTCCATTTCCACCTTTCTTTTACCTAGTCCTGTGTTTGGTTTGTTCATCATGGCTTAAGCTTGTTTCATTCTGCTGGTGTCTTGGGTATTGCTCCTCCCAGGATGTGATTGATGGGGACTTGTGCGAGCAATTTCCATCGCTGTCGATGGAGTTGCAAAAGAAGATTGCGGAGGAGCTTGACCGCACACCAGGAGAGATCCTCAAGAAGTTAGAGGACATTAGAAACAAGATTCTGTAGTCCTGCGCTGTTAATTTTCTTGTTTCCATCTAGTTTGCCTGCCTGCCAGAAATAATGCGTTTTTTTTCTGTCAAGCAGGCCGATCTTATTCTAACATGTAAAGATCTAGCATTTTCTAACATGACATGAGCCTACGAATTGCAGCTTCAAACAATGTAACCAGCTATTCAAGTCGCAGAGACCTTTCGCCGCATGCAGGGGTTTATGCGCGGGAAGCGTGATGATTGGTCTGTTGCGCTTCCCTCGAAGTTGCACCGCACAGATGCGGTTCTGTGCGGTGCAAAATATAAATCCCCTACTGACCTTCCTGACAATTTTCTTGTAGAATCTAGATTTTGGCCTTTCTGCCTTGCTGTCTTCGAAGGTTTTAGACCATTTAGACGTCTTAGGCTTCAACCAACTCGCACTCGTCATCCCTTCCAGGTTCGTTCCAGGTCGACGTATTTAGGGAGATCGGCACATCCTACGCTGATTCCGCGCTCTAGGGTTTTGACGGCGTGCTGTGATCAGTCGGCCATGGATGTAGACTTGCAGACTACCGTCGACGGCTCTGATCAGGGCGGCATGGGAATAAAGATCAAGACGCTCGATAACCGGACTTACGAAGTCGACGTTGATCGTGCGGTGCGTGCTAGCGTATATAATCCGTCCATTCACTAAATATCATTGTCCTGAATGAATCTCTTAATTTATGGCACCACTCTCGCCCCTCGCTTCCCGTGCCTCCTTTTCCTCGCAGCTGCTCGTGAGCGCTTTGAAGGAGAAGATTTCCGGGCAGGTACAGGTGCCAGCTGGCAGCCAGCGATTGGTCTTCCGAGGGAAGGTCCTGAAAGACGATCAGACCCTCACTTCCTACGGTTCGTCTCATCCCCTTCAACGGAGACTGCGTATCCCTATTGTTGCGTAGACTTCCGAGGATCGACTTTTGTTACGTGCGATGCTTGTTGCGGACTGAGGTTGCCCGTTTTTTGCCGAAGCAGACCCTATGTGGTTTTGTCTACTAGTCGACTTGTCCACTTCACCTCATCTCGCGCACGCTTCCTGATTCGCAATTTCCCCTTCATCGTTCCCCCTTCGCCTCACTCACTCGGCCGTTCCTCCTTGTTTTGTGTCCTCCCCTTACTCCCCTTCCCCCTTTCCCCACTTTCCGCTCCCCCAGGCATCAGCGCGGGCCACGTGGTGCACCTCGTCTCGCGCCTTACCGGCAGCTCCCCGCCACCTTCCGCGCATGGCGCACGCGCGGGGGCGGAGGGCGAGGGGACTCGCGGAAGGTCAAGGCCGTTGCACGGGGGACAGGGGAGGGGCGGCGCAGGCGGAGAGAGAGGCAGCGGCGGCGGGATTGCGGGGATACGGATCGTTCCGGGGGGAGGGGGAGGGTTGGGGGGAGGGATGGGGGGAGGGATGGGCCACGTGCAGATAGGCACCTTACCTGCCTCCACGACTGTTCATCTGGGCTCGTTCAACCTCCAATCGGACGGCTCTCAGGGCCTCCCTGACCTCAACCATGTATGTATGCCTGGGCGCGTTGAAAACGGGTGTTGCTTCATAGTCGACATCGCCTCCCTGAGACTGCTTTCCTTGTCTCCGCACCCCGTCTTTCCACCCTATCGCACTCCGTCGATCCCCCCTCACATCTCTTCCTTCCCCTCCCCTCTCTCACTCTCCTCCCGTGTGCCCTCGATCTCCGCCATTCTCCTCCGCGTTGCCACCCCTATCCTCTATTCTTCCCGTTCGTGTGCTTGTCCCATTCTCTATTCTTCCCGTTCGTGTGCTTGTCCCATTCTCTATTCTTCCCGTTCGTGTGCTTGTCGCATTTCATCTCCCCCCCCCCGCTTCACTGGCGCCGTCAGATCGTGTCCAATGTGCTTTCCTCTATTGGCCTTGGAGCCATGGGCCTGGGGGGCATGGGGGGAGGCATGGGGGGAGGCATGGGGGAAGGGGGAGCGGGGAGTGGGCGAGTGGGAGGGGGTGGAAGCGAGGCAGCAGGCCCCAGTGCCAATGTTACCATCGACATCGCACCGATCGCTGTAAGTCTTGTTCACTGTGTTTCATCGTGTTTTATGTTTCGTTAATGCTGCTCGTGTACTTGTCTCGGAGTCTATACTCGACCCTGAGCAGCAGAAGCGTGCTGCTATCTCCTCTTCTTTCTCTCGCCTCCCACACCTGATGCTCACTCACCCTGCTTCGCCCTGTGCCTCTCCAGATGCGAGCAGCAAGCGCCCACGGTCGTTCCTCCCCTGCAGCAGGCGCTAGTGCCGCTGGTCGTGCCTCTGCCAACTCCCGTGCTGGTGATACCGACGCTGCTGCTGCTTTTGCTCCTGCCAGCGCTCCTGCTGCTGGTGCTGACGCTCAAGCCACTGCTGCTGCTGCTGGTGCCGGCAGGGATGGGGGAGGAGCGGCGGCAGAGGGGAGAGGAGGAAGGGCGGAGCGAGGGGGCGTTGAAGCAGGGGAGGGAGCGGAGGGGGGCGATGGGGGGGGGAGGGAAATGCCAGAGGTGCAGATCCACGTGGACTCATGGCTGCCCATGGGCGGCTTTGGCATGCCCATAGGCATGGGAGGCACGGAAGGCATGGGCTTGAGCATGGGAGGCATGGGAGCAGGAGGCGGTATGGGCATGGGAGCAGGCATGGGAGCAGGCATGAGAATGGCACCAACAGGCATGCCTGTGCCCATGGGCATCCCGCTCGGTGGCTTCTCTGTTCCTCTCGCCGGCAGCATGGGGGGCCTCCCTTTCACGATGGGACTTGGGGGAATGGGGCTGGCAGGCAATGAGGGGGGGGGGATGAGGGGGGAGGGGGAGCACGGAGGGGAACAGGGGGAGCAGCAGCAAGGGGCGCGGCAGGCAGGGCGAAGGGACGCACTTGGGACTGTGGATGAGTTTCTCACACGCCTGGAAAACCACCTGAGGCCGTCAGGTGAGAATGTTGCCAGTGAAAGCAGGCAATGGGTTGTGCAGTGCTTAAGCCACGGCGATGCTGTGCATTTGAGGTTCTTAGACGACTTTTGAGTCCTAGTCAAAATTCAGTTGAGGTTCACGGGCAGGGTGCGGCAGCAGCGATTCAACCACAGCTGGCTCTTCTTACCCTCCCCTGCTTGCTTGCTCCCATCCCAGCGGACCCAGCAGCAGCCACGGCAGCAGCGGCTGCAAGGAGTGGGTTACCTTCCCTACAGCAGTTGGCGGCTGCCCTCAGGCGCTCCAACAGCCTCCTCACGGGGCCGCTCTCCTCCTCCCTGCTGGTCAGTCCTTCCCCACACCGCTACATCGCTCCCTACTTTATTGGTTCCTTGCTGATTAAGAATTATGGCCTTCGGTTCATGCAGCTGTGACGGGCCCTCGCCTGTCAGGTGCTCCAGATGTGCCGTTCAAGGCGTCTGAGCCTATTTGTTTTGAATCCCTCCTCCCATGAACCACTTCCTCCCATGAACCACTTCCTCCCATGAACCACTTCCTCCCATGCCCTCCCGCCTCCCGTGCCCTCCCACCTCCCATGCACGGCCTCCTCCAATGGCCTGCCTCCGCCTATGCCGGCTGTTTTCAAGCAGAACCTTGCAGATCAGCTGGAGAGTCTCCCATCCCCTGATGGCGCGGCTGCTGTGGACGCAGCTGGAGCAACAGGCACAGGAGCAGCACAGAGAGCAGCAGCAGCACAAGAAACAGCAGCAGCAGCAGCAGCAGCAGAGGCGGCGATGAGGGAGGCAGTAGAGTCCACCGTGCGCTGTCTGTCGCAAGTGGCGCCCCTCATGCTCGAGCTCTCCCGCCTCTGCCGCGCCCTGCGCTGGCCGCCGGCTGCCCGTGCTGCTGCTGATGTTCCTGCTGCTGCAGCAGCTGCAGCGGGTGCAGCGGGTGCGAGCAGCGGGCTGCAGCACATTCCACGCCTCTCCCCTCTGCCGCCTGTGTTCATCACCGCTAGAGGGCCGAGTAGGCTCATCACCCATGTGTGTACAACAGGGTTCTGGGTTTAGGATGGGAGGGGGCGGGGGAGAGAGAGAAGGGGGGAGGGGGGGAGGGGGGGAAAAGGGTGGGAATTGGAGATATCTATATCTTCTGTATATTGCGCCCCTCCCTAACATGGCCCCCCATGGAGCTGTCTGCCTTTCTTTTCATGCACCAACCACCAATTCCACGCGTCCTGCTTTCCTCGAATGCTCTCCCCCCACCCTCGCCTCTTTCCGTGCCCGTCTATGCCGCTGCTCCACTCTCTTCGTCTCCTCTCTCCCCCATTCCGTGCCTCCCCTCTCACAGCAACTCCCCTTGCTGCAGCAAATGCAGGCGCCAAGCACGGCAGGGCCTTGCCACGTGCGCAGAGCCTTGCTTATTTCACTGCTCTCCCATCCCTCCGTGCCTCCCCTCTCACAGCAACTCCCCTTGCTGCAGCAAATGTAGGCCCCAAGCACGGCAGGGCCTTGCCACGTGCGCAGAGCCTTGCTTATTTCACTGCTCTCCCATCCCTCCGTGCCTCCCCTCTCACAGCAACTCCCCTTGCTGCAGCAAATGTAGGCCCCAAGCACGGCAGGGCCTTGCCACGTGCGCAGAGCCTTGCTTATTTCACTGCTCTCCCATCCCTCCGTGCCTCCCCTCTCACAGCAACTCCCCTTGCTGCAGCAAATGCACGTGCAGGCTCAAGCTCCGAGCATCGCAGGGAGGGAAGGGAGAGAAGGGGGGAGAGGTGGGGGAGCGGAGAGAGGGCGAGGAGGGGGGAGGGGGGTTGGGGAAAGCATCAGAATTCCGGTGTTTGGAGGTCAGCAGCAATCAAGCGCAGCAGGCACAGCAGCAGGTACAGCAGCAGCAGCAGCAGCAGCGCCATCTGCATCTGTCCCCACGCCTGTTGCCAACTTCTCTCTCCCAGGGGGCGTGCATGTGGGGTTGTTTGGCGTGCCTGCCATTGCCGCCCACCAGCCTCGCACTCACCCCTCCCGCCCTACTGACCATGCTCGCGCCTCAACAGACAGAACCACCAATGCTGCAAACCCCCCTGCTGCTGCTGCTCCTGCTCCTGCTCCTGGTCCTCCTGCTTCTGCTGGGAGTTCTGCCCACGAACAGCAGCAGCAGCAGCAAGGTCAGGGGCAAGTGCAGCAGGGGCAGCAGGGGCGGCAGGGGCAGCAGGGGCAGCAGGGGCAGCAGGGGCAGCAGGGGCGGCAGGGGCAGCAGGGGCAGCAGGGGCAGCAGGGGCAGCAGGGGCAGCAGGGGCAGCAGGGGCAGCAGGGGCAGCAGGGGCAGCAGGGGCAGCAGGGGCAGCAGCCGGCATCGTTGATGGAGCAAGTGATGGCAGCAGCTCGCCTGTTCCACGTGCAGCAGGTGCTGGCAGGGTATAACGCGCACATGCAGGGGAGGCGAGAGCAGCGGGACAGGCTAGATGCGGCGAGTGGGGAGAGAGGGCAGCAGCAAGAGCGGTCACAGGAGCAGCACCAACAGGAGGAGCAGCAAGTGCAAGAGCAGCAGCAGCAGCAGCAGCAGGCAGTTGCAAGCGAGCAACAGACGTTGTTTGCCGGCCAACAGCCGTTGCTACAGTTCCCGGCCACTGTAGCTCTCTTGTCCGGGTCTGGCCCCCTCCCCACCATAGTGATGCGCCCTCAGCTGCCGCCATTGGCAGGAGCAACGGGAGCAGCAAGGGCAGCAGGGGCAGCAGGGGCAGCAGGGGCAGCAGGGACAGCAGAACCAGCAGAAGCAGCAGAAGCAGCAGAAGCAGCAGAAGCAGCAGGAGCAGCAGGAGCAGCAGGAGCAGCAGAAGCAGCAGAAGCAGCAGGAGCGGCAGGAGCAGCAGGAGCAGCAGAAGCAGCAGGAGCAGCAGGAGCAGCAGGAGCAGCAGGAGAGCAGGCAGGGGGGTTGGGCGGGCAAGGGAGGGGATCGGGACTCCAAGGAACAGGAATGGGATCAGAGGGCGGAGGGGGGGGCATGAAGGCAGGGGGGATGGGCGCACAGGCAGGGGGGATTGGCGCACAGGCAGGGGGGATTAGCGCACAGGCAGGGGGGATTGGCGCACAGGCAGCAGGAATGGGCGCACAGGCAGGGGGAATGGGGTTGCAAGCAGGTGGACTGGAGGCGCTACTTGGTGGGCTGGGAGGCCTGGGTGGGATCCTGGCAGGTTTAGCGGGGCAATCAGGTGGAGGGGCCGAGGTTGAGGGAAGGTCGATTGATGGGGTGGTGCCTAGTGGAAGTGCAGAGGCGAGGGGGCGAGGAGGGGTGGCGGGTGACAGTGATGATGGCAGACAAGCCCAGCAACAGCAGCAGCAGCAGCAACAGCAGCAGCAGCAGCAGCAGCAGCAGCAGCAGCAGCAGCAACAGCAGCAGCGTGTGCTGAGAAGTATGTTGGGGCAGGGCTTGGGTGCCTTGAGGAGAGTGTTGGGAGGGGCAGGGCGCGAGGGGGCAGGGCGGGGTATGGGAGGGGAGCAAGCGAGGAGGGGCGCTGAGGTGGTAGAGGGGTCTGGGTCTGGTGGAGGGGTGGGGTGCGGTGGAGGAGCGGGACCGAGCGCCAAGGACAGAGGCAAGGTTCTCTCAGCTGCTGTTGCTGCTGGGCAATTGAGCCAGGTGAGTTGAGGCAGGGGAGTCAGTGCAGGGAACACGGGTGGAAAGGGAAGACGGGTGGAAAGGGAAGACGGGTGGAAAGGGAGCACGGGTGGAAAGGGAACACGGCGCGTTAGTTCAGGGCATGAGATTTGTTTTGGAAAAGGACCATAGAGGGAGGTGAGTCGCGGACACCACTGTCATTTGTGCAGTGTGGCACGATTTGTGGTTCCATCCGTGCCAGGTGCAGCATCCCTAAGCGTGATGCGAAGGGTCTCTCTTCTGCATTGCATCGGATGTGTCTTGCATCCATCTTATTCTGTGTGGGATGGATGGCATTGCATGTCTGGCTTGTCATTCTTGGAATGGGATGGCACGTCTTGGCATGGCGTGCATGCATGTGTGTTTCTAACGGCAGGAGGAGGCTAAGGAGTGGGAGAGGGTAATGGGAGAGGACGACGTGGCACAGCGCCACATGGCACCACAAGAGAGGCTCTCAGAAGCATACCTGCGAGGGAGGGGATGGAGAATGAGCCAAGAGGTATGATGGGTTTGTTGGCATATCCAGTCTGGTGTGGTGTGCTAGTTATTTCGTTTTGCGACGTCTCAAAAGGAGGATGAGGGAGGAGGTAGGGTGAGGGAGGAGGTAGGATGGGTTTTTGGGCACATCCTGTCTGGTGCTTCTGCTGTTCCTTCAATTGCACGTATCTTGATTGATGTTTCTCTTATTCCGCTTGCTTGTGTGTTTGGTGTCTTGTTAGAGCTTCATGTAATGCCACTGTGCTGCCAGTAGCAGGCACATGGCTGCTCTATGATTGTTGCACGGTTGTGATCCATTGCTCATGTTGATGTATGGTATCGTGTGTCTGTCAGTGCATGACAGTGTTCATGTATGGTATTGTGTGTCTCTTAGTGCATGACAGACATTGTTCATGTATGGTATTGTGTCTCTTAGTGCATGACAGACATTGTTCATGTATGGTATTGTGTGTCTCTTAGTGCATGACAGACATTCTTCATGTATGGTATTGTGTCTCTTAGTGCATGACAGACATTGTTCATGTATGGTATTGTGTCTCTTAGTGCATGACAGACAGTGTTCATGTATGGTATTGTGTGTCTCTTAGTGCATGACAGACATTGTTCATGTATGGTTTTATGTATCTCTTAGTGCATGACAGACATTGTTCATGTATGGTATTGTGTGTCTCTTAGTGCATGACAGACATTGTTCATGCATGGTATTGTGTGTACATCAGTGCATGGCATTGTTGATGTGCATGTTGGAGCATGGATGGGTAGCTGGGTTACTGTGCTGGACAGTAAGCGATTCAGTAGAGTTGGTCTATTGGTACTTTGGCGTGCAAGCATGTGGTTTCATGCTTGAGGAATTCTGTTCTCGAATGTCTGTGTTGCACCTCCTCTGTGCAGGCCAAACAGAACCAGGAACGGCTGGTTTCTGCCCGACCGCACACCGAGGCTAACAAGGCAATGTCCGGAATGCCTGGGCCCTCGGCGGCGCCCCAAGAGTTATCTGGCAACAGTCCCACCCCTGGTGAGCACATGACACATAGTGCCGATGGACCCACGTCCAGCATGCGTGGAGGAATGCTTGCTGATCAGGTGCCCTCGCGTCGGAGAATGCGGGACGAGATTGACGGCCGGAATGAGGACGATGGGAACAACGGCAGCTCCAGGCGAACCAAGCATAAGAAGACAATGGAAAGTGCATGATGGCAAAGATGTGTTGCGAAGTTAGGGGCTGCTATAGTTAGTAGAATTCCGTGCTTTTGAACCGCGTTACAAAGTCCGAGGTGTAGAAGTCAACCTTTTAGCAAACAGTACACCTAGCGCGCCTTAATTTCACACCCAGTATTTTCAGGGGGTGCCGCCGAGAGAGTATTCACCCCCAGAAAGCAGCTCCTGAAGACCAGATCCGGATACCCTTAAAAAACCAATTTTGCTTGGGTTTCTATACGAAACGTTTACTGCTCGAGTCAGGAAACCAGACATCAGCTTAGGCAGCGCTAAAAGTTTTTGCCCGCGGGAAGTCTGCCGGGCTCAGGCCGTATGAACAAGGGAGTAATGTCTACGCACTCAGAAATGGTAAGGGTGGAAACAAAAATTCTGCTGCCGCCCAATTTCAGGGTGTGAAATTACCTCGGGCTAATAATTCTTCTGCCGCCCAAAAGACGAACACCACCACGCGTCGCCCTTGACGTGATTTGACGGGTGACGAGACGAAACCAGACTCAGCTCTTGTCGTTCCTGCATGAAATTCACGAAGTTCAACTGTTTACTGCACGTTGGCCAGCTCATAGCATCACTCTGCGATGGAGCCAGGGGTCTGTCAATCGACTCGATTCACTTGGAATGGCACCTGCTGTGGGTCGTGTTGTCATTTGTTTGCTCTGTACATTTTTTTTGGAAGGCCTGGCGTAGACACGGATGGCCAGAATGTTTTCAGAGCCGCCTTGACAAAGTGACTAACTGTCAACACGAACACTAAAAATGCGTCAGCTTGACAAAAAATGTCGAAAGTCCTAGGGAAGAAATCCAATAACCCTTGGAACATGGAGCAGCGTCTGGTAGGCTTGGGATGTATATGATTTGCGTGGGACCCCTGTGAAATAATATTCCACTCCCGCGTCCCTTATTTGTCGTTTACAGCAACCTCGACACGCGCCAGCTCAGTTCGATGCTCGCTGTCACCATCATCAACGGTTAAAAATGTCCACCAGGCAGACAAGCCAAATGCTACACGTTGGGCCTGCCTTCAATTTCCTGGCTGCCCATGGCCTCGTGCAGGAGGCGGTGTGGATGAAAGGCGGATGAATGTCCTTGATGATTTTACTGTTACAAGTGTAACAGGTGTGATACTGTAACTACTTAACGCCGTTGCTTGGCATGACGAACAGATCACGATGCCAGCTTCATGTCGTGATTGAACTGTCGGGCGAAATTGGCTGTTTCGCCTTCCAACCTTATCCCCTGGAGCTGTTACCACCGGCACATCGCGCTGCTAGTGGGAGGTCGCAATTGTTGGCGGTGGTGGGGGCACCGTGCGCCCTCTTGCAGACGCGCTCCCCCCAAGGAATCACAGTGGCGCGTGCGAGTTGCGAAAAGCAGCCCCCATTTCGCTGACAGCACTCGCATGTGGGCTGGGTGCCTCCAACGTCACCCAGACAGCCCCACACCATCAGTCACCCTGCAGTCTGTTTTGTATTTCTCTCACCACCAGACACCTCGAGCCATGGCGTCCTTCGGCGCTCTCTCGATCTGGTGTGGACCTCGATTTCGGAACACTGGCGTGGTTTTCGTAGAAGAACTTTCAATGCTACAGCAGCTGAGCACACTCGTGGTTTTTAGGAATCCGTGGATCCTTATCCTGACGCTCACACCCCGACCAGCGCACTTTACACGCCTCCATTCCGTACCACACGTTTCTATCGCGCATTTCGTGCGCCAATTTTATGCAAATACCACCGGTTCCGCACCCAAAGACTGACATAGACGTACAGAACTTCCTTATCTTGTCGATCCCGATTCCGGTAACGTCCGTACTTGCTCTTCTGGGTCTGTCCTTCTCTCAACCTGGACTTCGTCCGCTCAAAGCGCAACCGTGACGCCATCGTCGCGAATTATGGCTTTCGCCCGCCGCACGACGGACTCTCTAGCGCTCGCCGAGCTCCTTTTTGGTCTGCGAACCGCTACAACCGCTACAGCCGCTACGGCCGCTACAGAGGCGGCGACGACGACGAGCGCGGTAACCCAAACAACGTCTCTTCTTCACCCGCTGCTGCCGTCCCCTCACGCTCGCGCCTGCTCCGCCGATAATTCCTCCCCCTCTGCCTCCCCCTCCGCCTCCGCCTCCGCCTCCGCCTCCGCTTCCGCCGCATCAACTTCGTCGGGAGGCTCTGATGCCGCCGTGCAATCCGGCGGCGTTTACGCCGCCGCGCCGCTGCGCGACGACCCGTCATCGGGCGGGCTGCTCCACGCCGCCACCGACGAATCTCCGCCGGCAATCGGGGGCGGCTCGCCGGGAGTCGCGCTTCCGCATTGGATGACAAAGTCCCCACCGCTCGCACACAATGCCCCTGCGCGCGCCGGCGTGACTTGCGCCAACAACCCCGCGCCACTGGCGGGCTCCCTCAACCTCAACCAGCAGCAGCAGAACGCGCTGGCGGCTGCTGCGCTGATAGCGAGCGTGCTGCGCGCAGCGAATGCGGCAAATGCGGCGACAGGCAGGCGCGAGGGGATTCCCGCGATCACATCCGCCTCCACCGCTGAAGCTAACAGCAGGACGAGAGAGACGCTCGTTCCCGAGCCGCAGGGGGCGACAGATAACACCTCCCTCAGGAAGCAGCTGCTATTGCACGCGCAGCGCAATTCCTGGGAGAGAATGCCTTCCGTGGTTCCCGGATCTATCAGCTCCGGCGGAAGCGCTTCGTTCCCTTCGTCTGCCGCCGCGACTTTGTCTCGCCTCTGCTCGCCGGCTGACGTGTCAACATCGTCGCTGTCCGCATTGCTCAGTGGGTCAGTGTCCACGTCACCAGCGGTGAGGGGTTGCTACAGTGAGTCGCTTGCGATGGCGCTCCGAGCGGCCAATGAGGTGACCAGGTTGAACATCGTGGGTGGAAGGGAGAACATGAGTGGTTCTGAGTTTTTGGATGGCCTCGCGTTCGGGCAGCGCGAAAGATTATCCCGGGGAAGCAAGAGGTGTCCGCAGTGTGGAAGAATCTTTTCCTCGGGGCAGGCGCTGGGCGGTCACATGCGGAAACACTGGAAGGGGCCGAAACGGCCGGAGCAAATTCAAAGGCACGCGAAGGACTCACTTGGGGTGAGCAAGAGCAGCAATGTCATCAGCAATCAGTGCCACAACAGGTCGTCTTCGCCGGGCCAGCAGCTGTCTGCGTTCAGCAGGCAGCAGTCAGAAGAGTCGCTGGAGATGGAGAAAGAGCAGGTGGAAGATGGAGCCGAGATCGATTTGGACCTCCGGCTGTGATGCTTGAAGCGCTGTGAAGCCAGCAATCTAGGTGGTTTACTACTGACCCCTGTTTTGCTGTTGTATAGCCCATATGCTAATAAACGTTGTCAATGCCAGGGTGCTCTTTTTATTCCATTTGACTGCAGACAGACAGCCTCATGAATCATGCATGATGCTTGACCTCTTGGTCCCCCAGAAGCTGCTGTGTGCTTCACAATACAACTCTCTCTCACTGGTTCCAAGTTCCAACAGATAACCGTCTCGTCTCTGTGCCCCACTTGTTCCACATGAAAAAGGTATGAATTTGTACACTGGTATGCTGGCACACAACACCTACATTGCTGTGAGATGAAACATTGGGATCGCAGCAGCAACTTCTAACGGGATTTTTACTAGCACAGGCACCTCAGAAGCCTGTAAATCCCTGTAGTATTCATATTTTCAGGCTCAGATCAATATCACTGTCAGCGAGCAGCCTCACATTCGACTCCGCCTCGTTGGTCCGCCTCTGCTTGACATCGTGCTGAGGCGAGGCGAGATCCGACTCGTGGCTGTGGCTGTGAGCGGGGCTGCTGGTCCTCGTAGGGCTCACTTCCGCTAAAAGCTGCTTCGTCTGCACGCGAATGGACCCATTCCAGTGCTTCCGCATGTGTCCGCCAAGAGCTTGTCCAGTGGAGAATTTCTTTCCGCATTTCGGACACGTCTTGGTCGGCTGCTGCGCCGGTCGCTTCCGCTTGTGGCTCGTCTCCGCGGCGGCGTCGCTGCATGCGGCGAAATGACCAGATTCCTTCGCGCGTCTCGTCGGTCGGGTAACTGGAGCTGAAAGATCCTCCGACGATTGAGCGAGCGTCGCTGTCGGGCTGTCGGACGGGCTCGCTGGCTCCGCGTTCAGGTCGAGGTGCTTCTCCGAGGTGGCTGAAACCCTCTCGGCAAACATTTCGTGAGCTTCCGTCTCCGGCGGCGACCCAGCCATGCGAAGCAGCAGCAGGTCGGACGCGCCGCGACACAGGAGCTCTTCGTCTAAGCTGGCCAGCTCCGCTTCGTCCGAGTGAGCGGACGTCGCGCAGTGGCCGTCATGTCCGGGAGTGCTGTGCTGCGACGTGTGCGTGATGTTGGACTCCGACTGCCGCTGCTCCTCGGACCCCTCCGAGTCGCTAAGCTGTCTCTTTTTCGACGCCGATGCGCTCTGGAAGCTAGAAGGGTACGCCTTGAATGGAGGATTCCGTGCCGCGTGGCTCTCCTGCTGCTCGCGAATATAAAACTCTACCAGGTTATTAACTCTGTTGCGGTTGATAAAGTGCATCGCCATGAGATTAGGCTGAGGTTTCTTACAGTGAAAGCTACAATAGAAGAAGGCAAACTCGGAAGAGGGGAATATCAGAAATGATGGCCAACGTTCAGGAGGAGGGAGCTAGCTTGCTGATAAAGGCGGGATTGGGCGGGTTTGGTATGGAGAGTGAGGGGGGAGTGAGACTCTCCTGCCTGAAAGCATCAGCGCGGCCGAAGAAGCCGAGGCGAGGAGCGGAAAGAGCCCACTTGAGCTGACGTGAGCCCAGTGGGGCGGGAGAAATGACGATAATGCACGGTTCCAAGTGCTTTAGTGCTTTGAGGTTGAGTACAAAACATTTTCGCGTTTCTGTTACAGTTGCGTGGCGAGGTGAGGTGTTTCGGCTGTGGCCCGTAGGATCATTGCTGGACAGATCTGCCATCCGCTCATTGCGGTAGGGAGAATCAACGCTCTTTGGCCAGTCTGCCTGCCTGCATTTCAGTTCCGCGAAATTCACATTTTGCTCTAGTGTGCCCCACGCTGACGCGGCTCAAATGGTTAGATCGCATCTCCACCATTGATCGTCCGGGCCCCTGTGCCAGCGGGGATCGATGTTCAATCTGCGCGCCCAAGAAATGCTGACGCGTGCCACGGAGCACAAGGTGGTGTACTGGTGAACTTGCCGACAA